CTATGGATTTCCCCTTAGAATTCCATTTCCTGTTAGTATATGGGTATTAGAGTATAATAGTATCAATAACACTGCTATCTTTATTTTTATAGGTCATTTATTAAGATTGAAAATAGAGTGGAATTCGGAGGAATAAACTAAACATGCTTGTAACTTGACATACTTCAAATTGAAATTCCAGAAAAAAAGATACTGTTTGCATTTGTCGACTTCACTTCTTAAAAGAGAGCTTAGTAGTTAATTAGTAAAAGTGAATGTAGAAAATCAGATACTTTATTTACTGCAAAATTAAAAGCGATGTGATAAGCTCGACTTCATATTAATTAACCTATTTTACACTATACTAGAGATCAGTACCTAGATCAGAATGTGATTTACAGTAAGGTAATATCTATAGATCAGTATATGATAATATGCTTTTTATTGAGCCTCTCAATGGCATCATTAGCAGAAAATCATCTTTCTTCATTTTGGTGTTTCTGTCTGAAATTTGAACGGACTGTCTGATTTTTGGGGTACTTTTAAAAAATTGAGAGTTTCTGCTACATGATTCTGTGTTTTATTCTTTGCTAACTCCTCTATTTTTGTTGATTTTTGCATTTCGAAACACGGCAGCCATAGTTTTTTAGATACGGGTAATATCATCAATCACATGATATTGGCTGAAGCACTATTAGGAGATGTCCTGAAAATGAAATTCTAAGATGTCATGTTATTCCATGGATGAATGGAGCAAAAACAGAGAAATAAGCATTAACTTTTTACAGGGTCATAAGGGCTATATTTAAAGTTGTATAAAAATGTACAAAAATCCAACAGTTCATTCAAATTTTATAAAGAAATTGCTTAAAATGTGAATGGATTATGTATTTTCCCAAAGCTAGTACGTTTCCCTCATAAATAATTTTCTCCAGGGCATAACCTCCTGAATTACATGTAGAGTTATAGAGAGTTATGGTTCAATCATGATAATTAAATGGAATAAAACCAACAAAAAAGACTAATGTAAACATGCCTCAAAGTACAATTGTAAGTGCAATTGTCTAAATTATACAAAAATGCCAAATGAACAGTTTAATCTGACTTTGGCCAAAATTATCTTCAGTAAAGTGAGTGAAGAATATCTGATCTAAAAAGTAGCCCAACTTGAAAAAAATAACTCAATATGAAAACATTTTAAAATGCAAATTATTGATGTAAAGATTTAATTATAATGAAAATGTTATTCTTTAAATCAATCTTTTATGAGCTTTTCAATGTGGCTATATTTTCCTCCCAACAAAGGAATGTCTATTGTATGAAATCAATAGAACTTGCATGTTTTAAAATGTCTATTGTATGATAAAACAGAACTTGCATGTTTTAATTACAAAAAATATTAAGAACACACAAGCAAAGCTTATGCTACTATCTGCAGTCCGCACGCTATTGGTTTTTTAAACAGATGTAAGTGACAACATTTAAGGTAATCAACTTCCTAAATCCCATAATCCTTTGCAGACGTCTGCCAGTGACATGTCAGAAAGATTAAAGATTAAATATTATTAAAATATCAAAAATCTATTTATATGTGAGAACAGAATTTCTGGCAACAAAATTGATATCATGTATACATGTAGTATATTTTGCGCATAATAAGAATAATGTATACATATAAACCAATGGGACAGGAAGTAGGGAAAACTCTGCCATCTATACAAGCCTTTATCCTCAATCGAGCCTTTAACCTTCTCAACTCAACTCAACTACAATTGACAAATGTTGAGATTATATATACGTGGCAACACGGCATGTTTCATATGTCATTATTTAAAGGAATAAACAACCTTATGGCATCACTTCCTTTTACGTTTTCATGTGCTTTATGACATCTTCTTATATTTATGGAAGATCATATAAAGTGCTAAATGAAATTTTTTTAAGAAACTTTCAAAATGTAGCACTTGATCGTTTTGTCACTTGTCAGTATGAATGTAATCTTCTTAGAAAATGTTTCAATAGCTCCATACCTGGTAATATCTAACTTTGTAATGTCATATCATGGTTTAAAATTGTACACCAGTTATAAGAAGATTATACGTCTCAGTTGTCTCACTCTGTTCATCATGTTTCTAATTATCCATGCATTGTCTTGTTCCATATGATATTACACATTTAATTTGAGATTTTGATTCATGTGGGATTCATCATGCTTTGACTTAATAAACTCTGGAATGATTCAAAAACATGTTCTTGGGATTATTCATCTTGTAAGGGGTATTCTAGATAACTAGAATTATTAGAAATCATGCTATGTATCATCTCCCTTGTAGAAAATGTTCAGAGGTCATTTTATTTTTTTATTTTATATTTGGGAAAGAAGGATTTGTTATCTCTGTTCATATTTTAACTGACAGCTTCTCCAGATTCTTATCTTTTTGGTGTTTAGCTTCATGCTTATCCCTTGTTAATTTCACATTTTAAAACATTGTCATCATTTCCATTGCTCTCCTGTTAGATTGATTCATTGTCCAATCTTATTTTAGCATGAAAATAAAATGACAAAATGACACAAATGGAGTCTTATTAATGAACGGCAAAGGATGGGTAATGCTCATAAAATAATTTTTGAAAAACAAGTTGTGTAAAAGGTACAAGTAGAAAATTAGCCTGGCAGGATACACCCCCAAAATGCAATCTGATTTTCGACGCCGTATCGGTGCCAAATTTCGATGGACTGACTAGTCCTGTAGCAACTTTTGGTGTTGAAAGGTTTCGGTGCTGGAACGGTGCCAGAACAGCGCCAAATTTTTTCGATGCCGAAACGGCGCCAAATTATATTGGCTGTATACAGCAGATAGATGTCTTGGTCCCAGTTAGGGTGTTGTAGGGTGTTTGACATAGAGTAAAGTAATGATAGTAGGGAGAAAAAGTGCATCAACTTGAACTAATAATCTATAGGTACAATGTCTAAAGTTTCAGAGTCCTATAAAATAGATCAACCAAGTCCTTCAGATTTGTTTTTGTTTTAAACTACAATTCTTAGTCCACTATTTCCAATCAAGGTTTATTGCTGATAGTTGTTATTGAGTTGTCATTGAAGTGCTTAAATTATAGTACATTGCATTGATAAATCTACTCATGGTGTCCTTATCTTGCTTGATATACTAGAAAAACTACTAGTTTGTTGGATTAATTACCTGATAAATATGATGAAAGATCTTGATAGCCGGGCAACCAGGGCAACACCTATTTTTGAACATAGATTCAGATTTGTCTTAATAATTTGAATGAAGTGTCTGATTTTCTTGCATTTCTGTACAATTTAGAGTGTTGGCTACATGCCTGGCCATGCTCTTTCATGTTAATTCTACTGTTTTAAACTGTATTTTTCATTTTAAAAATAACCATTGAACAGGCCCGTAGCCAGGATTTGCCGAGGGGTCATTTAAAAAAATTCTGGGGGGTTCACCTTTGACAACCTTTGCCCAAAAATGGTCAAAATCATTTGAAAAGTTCAGATTGTTATAAAAATTGCATGATTTTGAAATAATGTTTGGCTAGGGGGGGTTCACTTAATTTGATATCGTTTCTTTTATTTGTGTTAAAGGCCATGAGGTTAGCATGCACTGTACTCTGCTGATCAAGATTGGCAATTTCAACATCAATGTCATTTCCAGTACCTGCATTCATATTGCCAACACATCTCTAAAGTATCCCATCATGAAATGAGATACTGTTTTTCCTGTTCTTTGCATCACGAACAACACACATGCACATTTTCAGGAACATTATATATAAAGTTATTCAATCAAAACAATCAATCAATCAATCAATCAATCAATCAAAACTATTGTTTTGTTTTAAAGTACATCTATCTGAAATCGTCAAGTAATCCCAAATATGAACACTTTTAATTGCAATTCAAACATGCCAAGTGTGTCTCAGCCAATCAGCTTAAAGCATTTCAGTGTGTTAAATTATTTATATATTCATGGAAATGATTTTGCTGTGCATTTAATTTTTGATACGTGCACGGGTTGAGCAGGGCTATTCTTTAAAAAGGGGTGACAGCTATATATCATACATGTGTTCATGTCAGTCAATGCAATGATTTTCCAACTAAGTTTTCATAATTTTTCTGCATCAAATTAATCATTTCATTTCCTATATAATATCTTGACAAACAAAACCTTCTTAATAGTTTTCAAACGAATATCAGTTGTAACCCAGCACCCCTATTTAGTATTTCTAAATAATAAACTTGTACAAAAACATATAAAATTTAATTTCTTCAAAGACAACAATCTTGTAGATGTAAATGGTGAACTATTCTACTTCATCATTGACCAGAGTCATGTTTGAATTGCAATAAAGAATCATGTATCATTTTATATTAGAAATATAAAAGCATTCTTGTATGTACTGACCCATTCTGATAATGCACTCAGGCTCTGCCTTCATGCATTATGTGTATGGGTTGGTACATACACTCATGCTTTTATATTTCCAATATAGTATGATACATGATTCTTTATTCCTTAAATAAATATATAAATAGAGATATGAACAATTCAAATATTAACACCTTCAATTATGATATCTTACAACCAGTAACGATATTTCTAATACCCGATTATTAAAATAAACTATAACTTCCTGTATTATTAGTTAATTGTTAATTAATAGTTACACAGATCAATAAATCTCTGTTTGACAGGATATACACAACATAATTCACGCTTGATTGAATATTATAACAACAAAGTATCCATTAACATATTCAGTCAGTTTATGTATAGTACGGATTTGTTATCATGCTTGATTGAATATCATGATAACAAAACATTTATTATCATATTTAATGAGTCAGTTTAAAGTTAAAGTAACATGATTTCATCAAATGTCTATCTGTCTTTATTAATATTATTATTATGGATTTTTATTATATATTTATTATATATTTATATGAACTTTTATTTGACTTGTTTAATTAATATTTATTTCTTTGTGTTTTTCAGTTACGTCTAGTCAGCCACCTCAAAGACCATGGATTCCTCTTGCAAATCCCGAGCGCAGGAAGCCAACAGGTGAAATTTTACAAAATTCAAATATTTAAAGAAAAACGATGAATTTGGAAGAATTAATTAAGTTTTATATAAAACAAGATGGGAATGTTTAATTCGTGGAATTTGATTATCATAATCAAAATGTATGTCAAAACAAACCTACTTTTGTACATGAAGAGCCCTTGACATTTTTTGAAACATGTTTTGTTTGGCATTCTTTCTTTCAGATAAGACATGTACATCGTACATGTGTTAGACTTTGTCCCAACGAGGAATGTACTAATGTTGCACTGACCCAATATTTCACTAAAGTTGACAACTTTCTACATCTTGTAAAAACTTGAAAAATACTATGTTCTTCATGGGCAATTTGTCATTTTACATGGGTTTTGTCAGAAGTTGAAGCACCTTGTGGTAGAGTTTGGTATTTGGACCATTTGCTTTTTTATGTGACACAATGCCAACAGCACAACGGACTTTCACCTCATTATGTCATCTTGACATGTCAACAAAAATGTCACTATAGCCATGCTTTAAATTGCAAAATAAACCAGAAAAAAGTTTAATTAGCAAGGAATAAACTAAACAGGAATGTAGCCAACACGCAAAATTGTAAAGAAATACAAAAAATGGACACCTCGTTCAAATTTTAGTGAGTAAAATAGCACAAGCAGATAGATTTTATGATAGATTACACATATAGAAATTGTATAGTTTATGGAGTTATCTAATCTGGAGGATAAGGATTATTTTAGTGCTTTTTTTAGCTACTTGAGTGATATTTATAAGCATGCGGTAGTATCTCTTCGGGACGTATCGAAACCACTCCGTCCCGAAAAACCGTTAATTTGAATTTAAAACCAACCCCAGTGTTTGAAAATCAAGGATTGTGAGTCTCAAACTTCACCGTTTTTCTTCAAACTTGTTCCGTACAAAGCTTCACAGAAATACCTTTCAGTCGATACATTGTTTTCATGTACAAAGTACCTCGTTTTAGCGGCGTTTTGGTCCCCAGCTGTGAGATAAAGCAAATTTTCATAACTTTCAACTGTAAGTCAAGTTATCTCGCCAGTCTTTTACCAATTCTCGCCCATAATTTCAGAATGGACTCCCATTACAACCTTCCATCGCTACGTCTTGATTTTTGGGCACCAAACGCAGCAGTTTCTAAATCATCCACACATCTCTTCAAATTTGACCAATACGTCCCGTCATCTTCCACTACGCCCCGCCGAGTCTATCACTATACACGTAGAGTTGCATTCTAAAACAATTTGTTTGTAGGTTGCCATTGTCGATTCTAAATACCAATCAGATTGTGTTTTAAGATTCGCCGTTTAAGATTTACCCATTCTTGTCCATTTTCAATATACCTATAATAGGGTGATCCAAAATCTCCCTAAAATTTAGATTATCCGATATTGCAATATAAAGATTTTAATTACTGAACAATTGAAAATTGTAAAAGCGTATTACATGTTAGTGCATAAAATTCATAGCCAGATCAATAATTCGGAGAGAATACGCTGGACGATAGAATATTAAAAACTATAAAAACATTCTTCATAGAATTAAGCAAACAGTGTTATTATCATTTAAGTAGTAACTGCATATGTTTAAACCACTCTGTTTAAATACAGGTAAATAAATAAATATGATGCAATGAAAATTGAAGCTTTCTGTCGAGAGCAATAGTCATCACAGCGTTTTTTCTTTTACATGTTACTTTTTGTACATCATTGATTGATCCGCTCTAATCTGCCCTCGGCCGATAATTTATAAATTATTTATGTTGAACATTAGCAAAACAAGATTCCAGATTTTATTGTGTTTCAAACCAGACACTTGGTTTCCTCACAAAATCAAATACAGGACAATTACATATAATTAAAGTTAAAAAGCAACATCTTCACAAACATTTAAATTATCAATTTCATGCAATCAGTTATAGTTATACTCCGTATGTATGCTAAACTTAAGACTGGTGTTAAGAATCGACCAAGGCAAACCTATGTAAAATAACACAACGATGAACAAAATGTTTTAGAATACAACTCCACGTTTGTAGTCATAGACTCGGCGGGGCGTAGTGGAAGGTGACGGGACGTATTAGTCAAATTTTAAGAGATGTGTGGATGATTTAGAAACTGCTGCGTTTGATGACCAAAAATCAAAACGTAGCGATGGAAGGTTGTAATGGGAGTCCATTCTGAAATTATGAGCGAGAATGGGTAAAAGACTGGCGAGATAACTTGACTTACAGTTGAAAGTTATGAAAATTTGCTTTATCTCGCAGCTGGGGACCAAAACGCCGCTAAAACGAGGTACTTTGTACACGAAAACAATGTATCGACTGAAAGGTATTTCTGTGAAGCTTTGTACGGAACAAGTTTGAAGAAAAACGGTGAAGTGTGAGACTCACAATCCTTGATTTTCAAACACTGGGGTAGGTTTTAAATTCAAATTAATGGTTTTTCGGGACGGAGTGGTTTCGATACGTCCCGAAGAGATACTACCGCGTGATAAGGAGTGGTTGTGTACATATATATCATACTTTACATACTTAGTTGATAATTCACTGACATGTATAATAGATTGAATAAACAATTGAAAAGTAAATAGACTTGATTTGTATAAATTACACGAAAATGTACTTATGTATTACATGTTTTATTGATTTGCGATGTTGTATCACATTCTATGTCATTTCAGCTATTTCACAGTGATATGCTAGAATGTTCTATGTCATTTCAGCTATTTCGCAGTGATATGCTATGATGTTCTTTGTCATTTTAGCTATCTTCATAGTGATGTGCTACAATGTTCTATGTCATTTCAGCTATCTTCACAGTGATACGTTACAATGTTCTATGTCATTTCAGCTATCTTTAAAGTGATGTGCTACAATGTTCTATGTCATTTCAGCTACCTTCACAGTGATGTACTACAATGTTCTATGTCATTTCAGCTACCTTCACAGTGATAAGCTACAATGTTCTATGTCATTTCAGCTATCTTCACAGTGATGTGCTACAATGTTTTATGTGACAAATACTGCACCAGTCAGCTCTATGGCTACACTGCCTCTTGGGCTCTCAACTGGGAATACAGGAAGAAAGGGATCATAGAAGAGATTAGACACTACAGCGCAGATATTATCACACTGCAGGTATTTGAAAGAGATTTCATGAGTTTGTTATTATTACATGAAGGGGTCTTTGTCATCTGCAATGTAGGGCCTGATTAATATGTCACAAATCAAAGCTTAAACAAAGTGATGTCATAAAGTAGAATTTATGAATAAGATGAGTTATAATGATGGGAAGTGTTCTGAGACATTCATTGTGAAGCTTTGTGTACCTTTTAGACGAATTGAAAAAATGCAATCATTCATATTTGAGCGTAAAAATAATTCATATAATTTCATTGTTGTTATGTAGGGTTCAAGGTAACATAACTGCCATTCATCATTCATCATTTGTTTAATTATCGAGTAAGCTCAAATGGTTATATATTTTTTTATCTCTATTATCATTAATTACACTTCACTTTTATAAGGATAGGAGTGTTTCGTTTTATCGGAAATTCATTTTTTGTTATATTGATCTCAGTATTTAGTTAAGAGTTCCTAGATCCTGTATATACAGTGAAACTTGTAAATTGTATTGTATTTTGTTTGTTTACCACCAATGAAGGTGAGCAATACCTCTTGGGTATGTCCCGTATATATACGGTCGTAATTTACATAATTAACATGGGAGATAGACCCAGAAACCCCTCCTTGAAGGAGCCCTGTGTTCTTTTATGTGCACTTATACATAGGCATATAAGTACACACCACAGCCTTTTCGAACGAGTTGCGAACCACTCAGTCAAACACCCTGAAGTACTTCACGCAAACGAGCAAATTTAGTCTTGCCTGAACCGGGGATTGAATCCGGGACCTATTGCGTAAGAGGTACTTGTGCTGCCACTGAGCAACACGGGTGTAAAGTGGAACACCTCTTGAAGTGTAACACTTCAGAATCCCAAGACCAACTGATTGTAATGTTACATGAACCTCTGTTAGTGGAATACCTCCCAAAGTGGAACACTTTCTAGAGGTACCAAAGGTGTTCCACTTAGACAGGTCACTCTGTACATTTAGCAATGTGGGTGAATTATAGTTTTGGCTTTCGGCTCTTATCTCTATTTTACTTTTATGAGTAAAATAGGAGGAAAGGGTTATGGGGAGGTTATAATAGCAATTTCATAGCAATTTATTTAATTCCGCCTCATAAATCTCACACTGATAATATGTGTAAATAATAGAACAGATATTTGTAAACAAACAATATAAATATTCCAACTTCATTTTTTATTTTTTTCTATTCTATTTTAGTATGAACATATCACTCAAATGTTGAATGTTTAATGGAATTCACAGTAAAGTTATATGGTACAATTTGGCAACTGTACATTCAAGAGTCCCCCTATAGGCAATATAATATTTTATGTTTTTGAAAAGCAGACCTGTCACCATGGTAGTTTTAAAAAGCAAAATAGAGTACAAAAGAATGAAATCAGCAAGGAATAAAGTATATAGGCATGTAGTTGATACTTTCAATTGTACAGAAATGCGAGAAAATTTGACACTTCATTCAAATTTTAAAGAGAAATTGTAGCAAGAAAGAGTGAGCAGACGGACAAAAAGTATGCTCTAATGTCAGTAAAATCAAGTGCAATATTGAAACATGCAAACTAATATTGCACCCAGATCTAGTATCAGATGCATGTCTCTGTTATCTTTATGAAATAACAAATGGATGTTATTGATTTTTTTTCAAAAATCAATAAACTGATATCACTTGGTATATGGGTATGGTATCAACTAGTTACTGATATCATACCAATGTGTATGGTATTACCAATTGCATTGACAACCTCGCTGTATATATTGGGAAATGATTATTAGATATATCAAATATCTCATGTTTTTTTTATAAAGATATTTCATTTCATCAACAATTTACAATATAATCTAGTTGAAAGCCCATGACCATATTATATTAGAATTTCATTTCTGTCAAGAACTTTTTATTGAGGTCATATGTATCATTTTCTGGGTCACATGTCATGCTAATTAATGCAAAAATCTAAACGGGATATTTGATTAACCAATGATGATTCTGCTACTGACAGGTCATGAAAATCTGAACAGGAATTTACACTTCGTGGGAGAGTTTACGTCTTGTGGTTTTCAATTTTTGATTTCCGTTTCTTTATAAGCGTAGCTTTACCTGAGGAAAAAGGTGGCACCCCACTATTTAAAATTCAACAAATGTCATGCTGACTTCTCGACGTTTCTCTCTAAAATTTGAATGGAGTATTTGATTTTCTTGCATTTCTATACAATCCACAGTTTTGATTTCATGTCTTCCCTGCATATTCATTTCAGATTCTCTCAAAGATTTGAATGAAGTGTCTTTCTTATATCTCTGTACAATTTACACTATTCAATTTATGGCTTTCCTTTTTTCCTCGCTAATTCCTCTCTTTTCTCTTTTGAATTGATTTTGCATTTAAAAAGATAGCCATTATGCACTTTTTCTCATGGACCAAAACTTCAGGATGTATTTGGAGATGTAGTTAACATTTGTTTGATTTGCATTATTTACTTTGATTGTTATAAGTCATGGGAAAAGTCCCATTTTTTAACATGGATACTTCCATATGTATCAATTATGATAAGTAGAACACCTCTGTCTGTAAGTAGAACACCTGTCTGTTAGTAGAACACCTGTCTGTATAAGTAGAACACCCCTATAAGTAGAACACCTTTATCTGTAAGTTGAACACCCCCATAAGTAGAATACCTCTATAAGTAGAACACCTTTATCCGTAAGTTGAATACCCCCATAAGTAGAATACCTCTATAAGTAGAACACCTCTATACGTAGAACACCTCTGTCTGTGAGTAGAACACCTCCAAGAAAGAAACACTTTTTAGAAGTTCAGTACTACCAAATGTCTTCCACTTGCAAAGGTTTTACGTAATGAAACGCTTCTTTGAGAAAACGGGATGAAATTTTTGAGTAGATGGAATTGAGTTCATGAGCGGGCACATCATTTTTGAGTTACCAGACAATGCTTAGTTCACACTGGCACAGATGTTTCTACTAATTTCATTTTAATTACATTCAGTAAAATATTCACCTGTGTATTTATTGATTTTGATAGTTATAGTGAACATATCTTTAAGCTATGTTTAAATATAGCCGAGTAACCCTTTGATTTTTCCATAAACACAAGTTGTTTTTGCTTCATCGATTAATCAGTCAATCTAGGGGCCAATTAATACAGGGCAGTATAAACGAAATATGTCGATTCTCATAGTACGATTTTCCATCAAGATACATGTTTTACTCCACCAGTATTGATATTTATTAAAGTAGACAATGCCATTGCTTATACTCGTATTGTTTCCTTGGAATTGAAAGTAAGGTGTGGAAATTGCATGGATAATGATTTTTCAAGGTGTGTGTGTCCGGAACAATAGTTTTATAATGGTTTTATCAAAGTCTATATTGACTTTAGTTTACAGCTTTCAGCGGCTGTTTGTTGTTTACGTGTCATTCTGATTATATTTCTGTAAAATTCAAATATGTCTTAGTTAAGGTATTTCTTTATGATCAAAAGAATGGATTCCAGTCCTGTACTTGTTATTCCCCTCTCAATCCACCATTTTTAATGTACTTTACAATTTATAATATGACCAAATTACAGTTTTTGTATGATACCATTTTCTATTTATTTACAAAGGCCTGGATCTTCCTAAGGCTAATATGCTTTCTCACAACTATCAACGCAACGTAATGAGATGGGAACCTAAAATATATTGGCACGTATTGATGATTTAGACATTCATTTTGCCAATTTCCAGGTTTCTCATTGTTTTCTTGGCCAGTATTATGTGAAAAAATTACACTAATATTTTTTTGATTTATAATTGCCGCAGTTTAGAGTTGATTAAGTCACGCTAACTTATATAAATCAAAAATTACCATTTTGATTTAATGAAAGAATCGCAATTTGTCAGATATTTATCTCCATTTATCTGGATCACAATTTATCAGCATCCTGAACTGTGTACAATTTCATTATCTCCTGGATTGTAAATATTGTTGTACGTTCGTCCTTTTGTCGTAATTTAAGGTTTATCGTCCTTGAAGTCTAATATCTCTTGTCTCTTAATGTGTAATTATTGTGTAGAAAGATAAACGTGTCTTGATAGACATTTTACGAAATTTTGCATAGCCTTTGACAATTAGAGGTTAAGCAAGATATTAAACCACATAGTCAACTAATTAAAATTGTGATTTTATCCAAAATTTTAAAGATAATTTTCAGATTTGGGAAAACCATCCTTTGACCATGTCGTGGATTTGATATTTTTCAACATCAGTATTTGAGTTTCTCTAATGTTGCGGATATTCCAAGTATCACATTGATTTTTACCTACATAGAAAATCATGAGGGCACTAATATGCTTAATTCCAATTTTCCCTTAAAATATTTTGAATAAACTGTCTGATTTTCTTAAATCTTTAATACGTAAGAGTTTACCGACAAAACCATTTCTTACTGATACCCTTTTCACTCTTTTATTTCAATATTTTTAAAGGGGTGGTTTAATGTCACCCTACAGAGAAGACAAAGTCGGACATCCTGCTCAATATTACATTGTTATTGTAGCATTTACTAATCCCGTCAAATTGTTTTACCATCGTCAGATGTGATAAGTATATTGATTAAAATAGAATCTGCTATGATAGAAACAAAAGAATCAGTAAAAATTTTATGAACATGCCCCAATTTTCTCTCAAAAGTAAAAGGTCAAATCTTGCACAAGATGAATGATAGCCAAAAAAACGCCACTTTTTTTCAAAATGCTATAACTTTTTTAATTTTTGATACAAAATCATAATTCACATACCAAATAAAACTTGAGGTTGTTATCTACTATCTAGCCATTGATCATGAATTATACACTTTTACTTGAATAAAATATGTCACCAGCATCTCACTTAAACATGTGGTGTGCCATGAGAAATAAGCATAATTTGCATAATGTTCCTAAACTGATACGCCCTTATGACTGCAAGCTAATAGCCCTAATTCAAACCCAAGTGAGTATAGGGCATGGGGAGGTCTCCAGGAGATGGTATGAAGGCACCCGATCTAAAAAATTGCTTAACTAAAGCTGGCAATTAAGACACATTGAAAAAAATATAGCTAACATTTCATTGATACTGCTATATCAGCAAGGTGACTAAAACTAAAATCTATCATCAAATGGGGTGGCGGACCAATTGAACTCCTCTTTTTAGATCAAATATAATCCCAGTTGAAGGATTTGTTACATAATATTATTACTAAGAACCCTTGGCACTATATAACTGCAAAATTTGGGGTATGTAGGTTGGAAAATAAAAAAGTTATAGTGTATTTTTTTGGCCCACCCTGTATATACAAAAATTGAGTAAAATGTGCAACAGGGTGAAGAACTCTAGCTATATTTTTGCATATTTAAATATGGGACAGAAGGGACAGGGACAGAACCACATGCAATGAAATTGATTCTTCACTTTTATTAAATACATTAACCATGGGCACGTTATTTTCCATCATAGAAATTCTAGGCTAATAATCATATATTTAATCTACATAACATATAATACCTAAACTATTTTCTATTTATTTATTTATTTAGAAATATACTTTTCATCTTTTACATCTATGATTGCTGTGAACTTTTCATGTAAATGTGTTAATAAATTAGCTTTGGTCACTGTAACCTATCAGGAATTCAAGCAGATGAAATATTAACAAGTTTGAAACATAATATAGCATATAATCAAATCATGTTTTATAGGGAGATATGATAACAATCAGATATATTAAATAATCAATACTCATGAACCTTTGTTGCTAAAATGTAATTTACAAATGAAATGAGAAAATTGGTTTGAAGGTCATGCTTTGGAATGAAAAATTGAATGAAAAAGAGTGGAATCAGCAAGGAATAAAGTATACAGGCATGTAGTTAACACTCTAAATTGTATAGAAATGCAAGAAAATTAAACAAGATGGTCATGTTTTAAAATGCAAAATAGAGTGGAAAAGAGTGGAATTAGCAAGTTATAATGTTAACAGGCACATAGATATTACTTTAAATTATATTGAAATGTAACATAGTTTAATTGTTTATTCACATTATAGTGAGGAATTAGGTGAAATAGCCATGCAGAGAGGATAAAAGGCCATTACAAAATAATTGTCTGTAATGCCTATCATATTGTTTCAACCCAAAACTGTCCTAATCAATTCTTTTCTTGCTTTTCATTTTGACACATCTTTTTGCTTTTACAAGTACAAGAAATCGCCTGTTCATCCCCCCAACAAAAAAATTCCTGTTAAGCAAAAAATTAACCAGGTAGACCTCATTATATGTGTTACAGGGACGGTTTCTTAGAATCACTTTCACTCATGTCATGCAATCCAATTAGAAGATATCAGAATGTCAATTTAGTTTTAATGTGACACACCCTGATCGGTGTCATTATTGATGTCACACTGGTGCCTGGATACTAGATAATACCTGTATGTGTCCATGTGAAATTTATACATGTTTTTTATAATTCTGTAAATTATACTGAGATTCCATCATCATTCTTTGAAGTTTTAAGGTACTGTTAAGTTTGATCCATATAAATCCACCAAAATTCTACTTAAAGAAAATATTTTCAAAATTGCATGGGGATTTTAAGCATGACTAGTAGCCATTATGCTATAATTCATAAATGGGATTTTCAGAAAAATAAGAAGTTAATTGTTCTGTTTATGTATTTCCAGGAAGTGGAAACTGAGATGTACTTTAATTTCTTCCTCCCAGAACTCAAAAGAGATGGCTACGACGGTATATTTTCCCCGAAATCTCGTGCCAGGACTATGAGCGAAACGGAGAAGAAGCATGTCGATGGTTGTGCTGTATTCTACAGAACAACCAAGTAGGTGTTAAAAAAATGAAACAAACATTACCAGGTTTTCTTTGTTCAGCAAATGGGTCAGAGTTTATTGGAAAGGTCTATACTACTTCTTTCTCCAGTTAGAATATCTTGCATTGCTGATCCAAGAAAAGGAGCCCAGACGCTGGACAAATGAACTGGTTTAAATAAAATTTGTGAGGACGAATTCTCTGGGGATAATCGATATTTTCCTCAGCATTGCTTCGATTACAACATTTTGTCCATTTTGAAAAGAAAATCTCCAGGGTGTTTTAGAATGTGAAGACAAAATCAGGCACAGTAAAAGCCAATAACCCGCTCTAATTGCAATGTAGAAAGGTTTTCACCTTGTCCTGTGTGGGTTGTACCTGTAATTTGTAGAAGCTCTTGAAATATGTATGTCAAGATGCCTACAGGTTAATTAGTGGTACCTGTTCGCTCTAGATACAGTGTATAACAAAAACCTTATTTATTTTCTTTGTTATGCTTATTTCGTTAATTACAGTATACCATTACTTGAAAAATACTGATTTTGACATTTCTGAGTAATTTTGACTGCACATGGTTCACTTTCTATTACATTGTATATATTTTCCAAAAGTGATTACAACATTTAAGATTTTCTCAAGGGTATATTATGGTACGATAAATGACGAAGAGAAAATTATCCTTTTACTAGGGAAAGTTTCTACGTTTGTTTGCCTGTTTGCTCGAATCATGAACTTCCCATGATCTTGTAACTACAATTCAGACTACACACAACCTAATCAACCTTGAATTTGGAATTAACCTTGAATTAGGGAATTAACTTTAAATGTGTTTTACTACACCATAAGGCATAAATAAAAGCATCCTAGAATGTTAGTTGTCTCATCTCCAAGGCAACAATCCAGTGAAGCCTGCATCTTTTGTTGTACTTGGCAGTTTCAATGGGCCTTGATAATCCCATTTGTCTTTTCTCGTTTGTCAGGTATGCAATTGACCTTGGCTCACTGAAACTAATCTAGAATAAAGAGAATTATGTCACTATATAGTAAGGGTTCACATTTCTGTACTGGAAGGGAGTTTCAGTCTTCCGTAAATGCTTGGAATTTTTCGCACTCAAATGTAATCGGTTAAAACAATCTATTGATACTGCGTTCCCACTTTATTTATTTCTAATTTATTTAATCATTCATTGGCTTAATTATATGTTTTTAGTATTTTTGCTTCATATGGGGGAAGTTGTGTCTGCTTTTACCAATATTAATCATTATTTTAATGAGAATATGATTTAATGATAAATATAATCTATAGCTAAGTCATTGGAGGATTTTATGGGCCCATAATAAGGTGGTATATGGTCATTGGAGGATTTTATGGGCCCATGATAAGGTGGTATATGGTCATTGGAGGATTTGATGGACCCATAATAAGGTGGTACATGGTCATTGGAGGATTTGATGGGCCTATAATAAGGTGGTATATGGTCATTGGAGGATGGAATAGACTCATTACACATGGTTGTATATGCTCATTATAATGTAAGATTCATACTCATTTTCAATTTCAAAATAGAATCTCCCATTCAGCAACCATTCTTTGGGATGAGCCCATTCTACCAATTCCCCCTCATCCCATATTTATCAAATTCCATTCCATCAAATCTGTCCCATAATTAAATCTAATCCAATCCCATCCAATCAAATTCACTCTCTCTATTGATTGACAGAGGATATAAATCCCTATTCAGAATTATTAAATCAATCATTAAATGATGACTATTTATTGAAATGATGTCAGTTATAATTGAAACAAAATTGAAATGATTTTATATGGAATGCTCTAGTCCCTGCAATTTGGTAATAATATCATTAGATACTAAAACGATGCGATCATATTAATATTTTTTCATTTCACATTTCTTGTATCTAACAGAATGTCCATAAAAGAGATCTTGCTGTATATTATGACATTTAGCATGATATTTCATCTTTTGCTATGTATCCCTAGTAAGATGTTTATTCATATGATTTTTATGTCATCATCACAGGAAGTGATGACATATTATTGTAGTCTACAACTCTTTTGCTGATGCTATTTGGCAGTCGGCATTCAGCATCTGTAACAAATTGCACGTACCTTGTGATATTTTGTTTTCATTTTTTGAATATTCCCAAAAATTAGAAAAAGAAACAATTATATAGTTCACTTATAATTTGAAACAAGCAGACAATCAAATATTGTTTCATGAATAAATAAAAGAATAACTATCATTGAATGTTTTGTCCAGCATTATTAATAAAATCATCTTGATATACAGTAAAACCTGACTAAGTAGAGCACCTAAGTGGAACACATTTTGTTCCTCTAAAAAGTTTTCCACTCGGGAGGTGTTCCACATATAGAGTTTCATTTAACACTACAGTTAGTTGGTCTTGGGACTCTAAGAAGTGTTCCACCCAGAGAGATGTTCAACTTCTAGAGGTGTTCCACTTTACAAGTTTCACTGTACAAGTGTGTGTGCCACTGTGCCATCACTTATATAAGACACTTGACCCTTTTAGAAAAGTCTCTCACATGGGACTCCATGTGTGGAATCAATTAATTGCACCTGAATTTGGTTGTCATTGTCTTATACAACATATATTATCTAATACCAATCTGAAACTAATGTAAAGGAATAGAGGTGACCTTTTAACAACTTTGGAATTTCTTTACTCCCACATTAAAGGAAAGCAATTTATTTTGAAATGCAGAGGTAGATTGAGTGAAATTAGCAAGGACAATGAGTTGTAAATACTCTAAATTGTATAGAAATACTACATTATTTATGATTAAAATCACATAAATATATTTACATTACAGTAGTTAAGATCCCATCCTACCACATCAAAAGCGGTGGATGGTTTATCAGAAACTAAAATACTTTCAAAAATGCATGTATGGTTATTTCGGTTATACATGTATTATGAATATTCTCGAAAAATGTTATTCATTCTATTATTTTTTAATTTGGAGAGATTTTGTCTAATCAATTGTGACATTTAGTGTAACATGCGATTAATATGTTCATTTATGTAACTTTTTTATGTTTCCAGATTTGGCTTAATTAAAGAACATCTAATAGAATTCAATCAGGTTGCCATGGCGAATGCAGATGGCGCAGAACAAATGTTAAATCGTGTCATGACGAAAGACAACATTGCGCTGGCTGCTCTATTAGAAACAAAAGAGGGCGCTTTTGAAAATGGTAAAATTTTTTAATTTATTGCCACTGTTGATTGTTTTTTTGATTTATTGCCAGAGTTGATTGTTTTTTAATTTATTGCCGGAGTTAATTGATCTATGGAATTACATTCTTAAATTTTGAAGATACTTGGAAAAGATAATAAACAAATGGAAATAAATAAAATAAACAAATGAAAATTTTAGAAATTGGAAATGCAATTTATGAATCTTGTATTGAAGTACAATTGCATAATCATGAGCCTAAATGCTTACATAGACCTACTTATTTTAAGAATCCTCAAAGGTAAATTTGAGTTTGTTTTTTATTATGACAGAGGTACCTCCAGAAAGCCAAGTCCGTCAACCAGTCCTAGTGACAACCGCTCACGTTCATTGGGACCCAGAATTCTGTGACGTCAAGCTGATTCAGACGATGATGTTAATGCAGGAAATCAAACAGTTGGTGAAAGACTACACAACAAGTTTACGTCCTGGGGCCACTGTTCCCGATGCTAATTCGATTCCACTTATCCTCTGTGGAGATCTCAACTCTCTACCCGACTCAGGTAAATAATTTTTGAAATGAACGATCATCTCTCAAAAACAGTGTAAAAGAAACCATGTAACAGAGTAAATATGATTAAATATGAAGTAAAGGTATGAAGTTAACTCTCAAAATTATAAAGATATATAAATATTTGGAAAAATAATTTGCAGCAATTCTACAAAACATGTCTTGTGCTTAGCATTGGTACACTTTATACCTCACAAAATCAGAATTACCAGACCTGTTTTTTAGGGCAGTGAAAAATCTAGACACCGTCAAATCGAGGCACCTTACCAGCTAATGGGAATTGGTACCCTGTTGTCAATTTCATATATATATCATAACAAGATATCATTATGAATTTAGTCACACCTGCACCATGTTAATAATAATTTCTATCGAAATATGATACAATGTAGCAATGCATTTTAAATTATCTGCTGTTTTCGCAGAAAACGGGTTGGGATTAAGAATCAGTTTTAGGTTACATATGTTATTGGCCCCATATGTGGTCTATGCATTAATTGCTCTCAAGCAATTAACTATTGATTCCCCCGTTCCCTGGAAATGTCGATAAACTTGTTTTAATTGACATCTGCACATATCATGCTATTTCACAAAGTTTCTCTCTAAAAGTTGAAGAAATGCTTGAATATTCCTTAGATATTATCTCCTGGGAATGCTTTTATGCATAGGCTTTGTTTGGAATCCTTGAAAGAAGATTAATGAGGTCTGATATTGATATTTCTAACATCTTGGTCAATACCTGGGTACATCTGCAGTTCAGGGTTATACATTACCCTTTTCTAGAGTTTTTTGTGCCATCTAGACTCTGAGTAAGAATTGATTCTTTGATGCAGAATTACCTAATCAGATTTGGTCAATCAAAAACAGCGACCTAATCAGAATTGCAGTCATTTTTCATCTTTATAAGTGGCTGGAATTCAATATACTCCCATAAATTTATATATATTTATACACCCATAAAAGGACATGCTGGCTTATTATACCTTTAGAGTTATAAAATCCTATCAGCATTAAAACTGTATATTAATTTGTCTTATCCAGTGTTTAGTAATTATAACTGCTTCTCCTTAGGCCTTAGGGTAGATAAAAACCCAAGATTCACTCCTCTCCATACCCAAGATATTCTCCCCTCCTTTCATGAAACATTCTGGCACTCATTATATCTATGTGATGTGATAAATGGAAAAGAATGAGACATTATTACAATAATAGTGGTCATTTAGGATTTATTATTTTATAGCCTTTTGTGATATTAGAATTATGATATTCTATATAAAGGAAGGAAATGTGTTAATTAAACCGTCCGAGTATTACAATTATATTACTTATTACAATAGTACAAAGACATTTGTATTAATAGAAATATCCATGTATGACCTTTCTAATGTTTATTGCTTTCTTTGTATAGTTGTGTTTGGAAGAATATTATGTTTAAAGACAATCATTCAAGCGTTATGAACCTTGGATCTCTCTCCCAACTCCCTCCCTGCATTGAATTCATGTGTTACCTTGAATTGAATTGATGCATTTCCTTGTATTTTGGGTACATTGAATTCATTTTATGAGTTGCTTTGTAGTTTAAAGAAAGAAAAGTTCCATCAAGCAATATACAATTCAAGAACATGGGACAGATGTCTCTTCTCTCATCCATTCCTCATTTACCTCTTAACCCCCTCCCCTTTCCCCTCTACATTGAATACATGGGTTTTGTTGTATTTATAGGTGTGATAGAGTATCTCAGTGAAGGAAAAGTTCCAGCAAGCCATGTGGACTTCAAGAACATGGGATGCATGCCCCCCCCACCCTTCCCATCCCTACCCCCTTTTCCCATGTACAGTGAATACATGTGTTTTGTTGTATTTATAGGTGTGATAGAGTATCTCAGTGAAGGAAAAGTCCCAGCAAGCCATGTGGACTTCAAGAACATGGGATACCTGTCCAGTCTTCAGAAAATGAATGCCACAGATAACAAAGAAATATTCTCTCATGGTTTCCGTATAGCTAAGGCCTACGATACTGACATCATGCCATATACTAACTATACGTAAGTACACTTTTTATCAAACATGCAGGTAAACAGCAGGCAACAGGCGATTTCACTGGTTGTTTTCACAAAATCGCCTGTTGTTTTTAGGGACTTTTCAACTTTTCCATGTTTAATTCTTGATTTCCATTAATTTTGCCTGTTGTTTTCATTTATTTAGCTTGTTGTGAGAAATTCTAGGGAAATTTACATGAAAAGTGCATTATTGTAGTCAACGTGCGCTGATATGTGGGAAGGCAGCGCAAGAAATATTGTCTTCAAAATAGCAAGGAATCCTTTATCTGTTAACCTGTTTCTATGTTTCAAGAGCTGTCGAGGGCCAAGATCTGGTTAGGTTTTGGGCATTCTGGGCAATTTACTTGGTGGCCATTTTGAATTTCAAATGCTATATTGATGTTGATCTCAGTATTTTCTGTTGGAAATGTCAGACCTCCAGCCATTGCCTACATTATTTTTTATTTATCATGTTTATTACGTATAATTATTATTACATACAAAATGAAAGTATTCAAAAAGCGACTTCAAAGCCTATATTTAATCATGTAGGAGATTTGAAAGGTTGGAGACCTTTTATGCAATTCCTAATGGGCTTCACGAAGTATTTCATTATTATGGGTCTGAACCCATTAGGGTAATGATTGCCCCTGGTCAGACTTATTGGTACTCTTTGTGAACTAATTTGAATTTCCTTTTATAGTGATGGGGTTCCACTGAGTGGAATCTGTATTTCTGTCCTGATGAGGTTCCATGCAGTGGCTATTTTGCTTAAAATGTTTCCTGGAAAAAATATATTGCTATTACTGTGTCAAATAAAACAAATATTTATTTGTGCATTACTCATTTGTTAATATTTCAAACAGGGCACCTTGACCTCTTATTTTCCAAATCCAATCGATCTATTTTAATTATCTGCGCAAATGTTTAAACTGTACTGTACTAATATATTGACTTTGAAATGAAACTTTATTTATAAATTGCAGCTCAATATAATTATGCACACTCTTGACATGGCTTTGTTTGGGTAAAATTTTATAAAAATCTAGTTTTTAAGCTTAGAACTCCATTATGTTTGAAGATCCATATAATTGGAATAAAATTGGAGTTATCTCCCCAGCATTATTGCAACTGGGTGTAACGCCCAGTTGAAAACTGAAAATTATATGCCTCCCAGTTGAAAATCTCTGTACCCTGCCAAAAGAGTGAAATGTTGAGATAATTTGAGCAAAAACATATAAATAAAGGTGGTTGAGAAAATAACCTGGGGAGATCACTGAAATGAAAACTGAAAAAAAATTCAGTATTTTTTTCATTGTGTTTTTCAGGTTTGACTTCAAGGGTATTATTGACTACATATTCTACTCTACGGACCACATGCGTCCCCTCGGTGTTCTGGGGCCACTGGATCCGCAATGGTTCATCGACAATAAAGTTATCGGCTGCCCGCATCCTCACATCCCATCTGATCATTTCTCCCTCCTCGTGGAGTACGAAATGTCCCCAAGTAACATTCAACTCTCTCTTTCTTCGTCATCAGGTAGTACGAACAGCACAAAAAACGGCACAAGCAACAATAACGGACATCGATAACGGCATATCAAATTGTCAGTTGTCAGATATCTCCATCTAGTGTACTTTTGAGCGAGTAGCTGGATTATGTGGTATATGTATGATCTGTCCAGTTTATGAAGCATGCCGTAACAGGAGCAATCCATGGGGGAATTTCATTTTGGGAAGATTTGGATTTTTAATAACACAAACATCAGGTTGACTATTTTATTGGAAGTGGACATAGTTTTGATGTGTACTATAAATTATATTGTATGAATATTTGTGAACAGAGTTTTTTATTGTAATGCACGGAGCATAGATGTTAAATATACTAGGTCAAGTAAATATTCCTTTGAAGTTAGGCAACTATTTTCACCAGAAGAGTTTTGTCAATGAAGGGTTGTTTCCTAAAATATTTTATCAATTGAGCTTTCCCCTTCATGGTTTTAAAATTCTGTTTTAAAATGAAAACAATGTTGTATCATTAAATCAAGGAGAATGTCAGCCATTCCTTACTTCTACGCATCTTTCCATCAAAATATTTTTGTATTTGTTTGTCTTAAGTGATGGTGATCTGGTAGGATGCGTAAAAGATGGGAAAAACAGGCAATATGATAAAGGCTCCTTTTCAAAGTACAAGTACATGCATTTCAATCATAAACTTACCGAATTGTATTTCCATATATGGTATTTTCTAGTAATCTGGCGCTGGTGGAAGACGGGTATTCATGATCTCAATGCTGTTTTAAATCATGGGTTTATATTTTCTGGTGCAATGTTACAAGTGTGACAAGACCATTAATATGTACTAAAAAAGATAAATGACTGTGCTTGTGTGACGGACTACTTTTGAGCACGATTTGATGATATTGCATTTACTATGTAGTCATTCATAAGAGACTCATTGTACGAACCTTTCCATAAATATATACAATGTTTTGAAAGAAAGGGTCAAGGTCAAGGGTCAATGCTAAATTTCTCAGATTGTTTCCTATGATGTTTTATATACCATGCCAGCTAAAAGTCAGTGGATCATAAATTGTATCACAGAATAAGGCATAACATCGCATTGTTATAATTTTCTGGAATTCATACATGTATGTTCTGGGACCAAAATTGTACATAACGTATCAACTCTCATATAAATGTATTGCTACACTCCTTTACAAATCATATCATCTCCCTTACAAATAATATCAACATGGCCATAAAAAATCACATGAATTTCTGAATATATAAGGTGTTTCTTGAAATTGCTTGTCAAGAATTTGAAAATTCCCTTGCTTGCACAAAGTTTTGAATTTGGAAAATCGAACAATGTTGCAGATTTTTAGTCGGAATATGTAAGCAATTCTGTTAAAATCACACAGACGGCAATATGTTGTGCCTCACTCACTTTACAAATGTTTATTTTTATATCATTATTAAATTATTGGTTGAATTGTAGTTTGTATGAGAATTGCATGGCCATTTTGATATTCTGCAAGGATTGTTTCACGAACACGCAAATCAGGTGATAACCCATCATTCTATCAAGTTCACGCAATCATAATTCAAAAAATCATGTTGCATATTTTGACCAAATTTGCGTAGAACTGTGAAAATGATTGCAACTTGAGAAAAATCCTTGAAAACTCTACAATTTGAAATACAATACTGATGTTATGTTGATATGAATTGACTGGAAACCAATAAGAGATAAGGTGACACTGTGAGCAGAGAGAAGCAATGTATAGTTTAACGTAAATGTGATTCTCCAGACTGATGAGAGTGCGATAATGAACAGTGGATCTATATCCATCGCAGATCTTAACACAGAGGTCATACCCATAGGCATCAAATTAAACATTTTCTCAAACTTGAAATTTCACTTCATGCCTAGATTGATCTTTTGGGGTTTTTGTGTTGGATTTTTTTGACCGCTGTGTTATTTTCTCGAGGGGTGTATCGACGAAATGCAACACAAGAAGTTTTAACCAATCAGGTTCATTGTTGTGTGGAACTTCTAAATTTTATGATTTAGAATGTTGTATTTTTATATGTACAGAGACAGAATTGTATAAAACTGTATGATGGGGCTTAAGGGTGATTGTTACCATGGCAACGGGCTTTGACTTGCCTCTAGAGACATAAATTGAAAAGCAAGCATAACAATGAATGTAATATGTCTGAGCAGTGCCCAATGGGTACAATATTTTATCTTGAATCAGACTCCTTAGTGAACCACAAATATTTATTTTGGTACATATGGTTTGATAATGATATCCTCCGAGATTAAAGATCATGAGAAAATTTTTGCCAAAATGTTTTATGAAAAGAATGAATTGGAATCAATTTTGATTGAAGAGAGGGTGACTGTTGGAAATTTTGAAACTGTTGAGAAGAAAGATACAAAAAAACATTTACGTTTTATTTTATGAAATTTTAGGTTTTATTCAGTGTTCATGTGTATGCATTTCAATGTGTCTCAGACCATATCAATGTGTCACATGATGCAGTGGATGTCACATGACACTTCGATGATCATCAAAGAATCAGATGACATCTAATCCTATGTATTTATTAATTTTAATATTGAATTGTAGAATATAGATTTGTTTGAAATCAGGTCAGAGACCTAAGCATAGATTGTTCATAAACTAGATGTTCTTATTATTGTATAGTAAGCATGCTAAAACAGTCATATAATGTCAAGAATACTGACATAAGCTGTTGTTTTTGTAAATTGACATATTTAAGAAATGTGGTGTGTGTTGTGGCATTTCCTTAAAATTGTTAAAAATGTGCTGATTCAACAATTTGTCTCCTTAAACTCCTTTAATTTGAAATGTTCCTTACTGTATTTTCTCTCAAAAATTGGAATAACTACCTTGATTTCTGGCATTGCTTACCCTGGCATTACTATATAATTTATACTGTTCATAACATGCCTGTTAACTTTGTTTCTTTCTGAAATAATGTACTTTACATTTTTATACATAACAGGCGATTACACTTTTCTCTTGGGAAATAGATATAATGTCTGTACTTAAGGCTTATGTATTTGATCGTTAGTTGATCCCTTTCCAGAAATATAGGCCAAAGATAATAGATTTGATATATCGTCCTTCAAATGAAATGTTAACCAGAAATTCATAGTTTCGGTCTGACCTGATATTGCTTTCTAGGAATTTGAGGACAATGATCATATAATTCAATATCAATGTTTTAGGATTTGTGTCATTCAATCCCCACAGCTGTAATGGAGGTGAACTTTTCTATTTAATGTTTGCCAATCATGATTCGTGACCTCAACATACTTTTCTATTTTGTTAAACAATAATGGATTTATTTAGTGCATAATTAAATGTATTTTTATATTCAGGATATGCACTTCGTGTAACAATAGTCGTAGTAGAGTATTGTGAAATATTTAACTAGACATCCCTGGATTACTGCTGTTCAAATACCACAAGTTCATTACTATCATGACTTCCGTCTGAAAACATCCGTCTGCTCATTCTTATTCCTCTCCATTCCTCTCTAAAATTTGAATAAAGTATCAGATTTTCAGGTATTTCTACACTATTTAGAGTGTTAACTTCACGCCTGTTTATTTTATTCCTTGTTTATTTCACTCTTTCCCTCTCTATTTTGCATTTTAAAACTTAACCATGTGACATTTTGCTCTTCGGAATGGACTAGGATGTTGTGATGATTGTGTAGTAAATATTCAGCCGTTCGTGATTTTGCCACCTCTCTATTTTACAATGAAACACCACATATTGACCACATCTGCATGTTTCGTCAAAATAACCAGAGTTTATTGTGAAATATCAGAAATTAAAACAACATAATAAGTTTATTGTGAAATATCAGAAATTAAAACAACATAATTGTATTATGTCCACAAGTTAGGTCAGTTTTGCCATGAATCGTGTTTTCTCTGGGTATTTTCGAAATTATTTTCAAGATTATATGATTTTACGTTCAAGTAGAATAATCATTAGGTTTTACATTGTCCTTATTACATATTAAACATGTCACATGCTATGCCACATGATTTCCAGATAATCATTGTACAATTTCTAGGAATTTTCTGCCCTTGTTTCCATTGTTGAGTCCATGATATTATGCTTATTATACAGCCCACAAAATGAATGGCTATCTGTGTCCATACACCAGTGCCCAGTCCTTTGGTCTTTATTCTTGAATTATATGACTGTTTTTGCTGCGTAAAGATGCAAAGATCACATATGATTTCATAATTTTCTCAGGGTTCATAAATTCTTAATTCATACTTCGTGTATGCATGGAGTTCTGAACTGGAAGTCACTTCATCGTAAACCTTGTCAGGAGTAACAAACAATATTGTTTGTTTTTAGACAGTTTGAAACATTGTGATGTATTGCTATGATTGACTCTAGACCAGCTACCCTGGGGTTTTAGATTTTTAGTATCACTCTTAAAAATGTCTATCTTTGGACATTGGAATCTTGTCGAAAAATCTCATGGTGGGTGTTCACAAAATTTAATTTGAAATTTTACAATTTTCCCAGAAATAAATTGAAGAACATTGCTTAAATGTAATTTATTTACATTTCTTTGAATGTTGTTTTTATAATGTAATTTTTATTAGATTCGCAAAACAATTTTGCAAGAATTTTGTCACCATGACGTGTTTTGACAGTTTGTACATTGACATGTTAAGGTATATTCATTGAGCTCTTGTTCTGTACGTCATAAAACAAAATGGCGGCTGTATTTGTACGTCGTAAAACAAAATGGCGGCTGTTCTAGTGTTACTCAAATTGGAGTAGAAATAAACTGAAGTATAAATATAGTAATGTGTCCTGTTATATATATTATTTTCTATGCTATGTTTTATTTATATTTTTACAAGGCCACACTTCAGCTCTTTTATCTCTAAGCATTTGATTCAGTGCATTAAACTGAACAAATAACTTGGGGATTGTGTTTTGGCATACTGATTTGAAATGATATATCATTAGATTGAGAGTGTATATTTGAATGACATGGAGAAGGTGAATTTGATACAATATTTGCCCTTTCAGAACTTATCTCGTAAGACTTATTAAACAATGGGTAAAACATTTTTTTATGCTTTCTCATATCATCATGAAAATCAAAGATGAATAGAACGTAATGGGAGAGTTGAATGTGAGTGTCCATAACACATCACAATCACACCTACGTGATAATCTTATTGTGATAGAACGTGACAGTCACAGAATACCTGCCTTAGTAATAACATGTTTATTATCTAAAAATCTCTCAATTATTGAGTAATTTCTGATTTGAATTCCTTGTTATTCGATATTAGTTTATTGACTATACGTATAGATATCTACTTACTAATTTGGTGCCATAAGGTGAAGCCCCCACTCAATATTGCACAGGTTCGTAGCCAGGATTTTCCAAGCGGGTTGTTTTACTTTGTTTAAAAATCCAGGAGTGCACAAATTTGGCACATAAATGGCCAAAATTTCTTGAAAAGTGCTCAGAATGGTGAAAACTGCATGGTTTTGAAAGAATATTTGGTCTAGGAGGGGGGGGGGGTTTGTTTACTGACACAAAACTTCAACAAAAATATATTCAGAAGTCAATTTTTTGTCTAAATTTGTATGCACAAGTGCCAAAGGGAAAGACTTTAAGTGTAACATAACAGTAGGATTACAAGCAGTCATAAGGAAAGCAAACCCCAAATATCCCAAACTATGATCAAATGTAAAGAAACAATACCCCATCATTTAGTTAGAAACCAATATCACAATTCAAGACAATAAGACCATAGGATCACACATGTAAAAGGTGTTTGTTACTTTGGGTACAGTGAGCTTGGAACAAGATTATCTTGTTTAAGTCATGCAGAGTCAATGCTTTTCTCTCCCATGTATTTCAATAAACCTAAGAGGCCGCTAGGGTAGAAAAATTAGTGAGGCTTCAATCTAAAATAAGATACAGCCATTGGACTTCTCTATCACAATTTGATCAGAAGAAATGTCTGAATACAGACATATTGGGCCATCCCCTGCACTATTACCCAGAGTCCAGTTTTAAACTTCGGAATCAACAGTGAAGTCAGAGAAAATGACCACAATCATATAAATAATCGTCTGGCAACGGCATGTTCTAGAGTTCTGATATTTTTTTTAACTTAAAAGTGTAGATGAAGCTTCCTTTAAGAAGCTAAGCCAAGAGAATGTAAAGGGTGCTGCCGTAAGGTTATCATGCCTTGTAACACCCCTGGAACTCTATGGTTTTGTGGCATTAGAGCATCAATTACCACACAACACGCTTGTTCATTTGACACCTGGGAAATGATTATCATTGTTCTGCATTTTGTATCACATAACCTTTAAAGCACGAACGTCTGAAGTGCGGATTCACAAATCACATTTTGACACCTGGGAAATGATTCCCATTGTTCTGCATTTTGTATCACATAACCTTCAAAGCACGAACGTCTGAAGTGCGGATTCACAAATCACATTTTGACACCTTGGAAATGATTCCCATTGTTCTGCATTTTGTATCACATAACCTTCAAAGCACGAACGTCTGAAGTGCGGATTCACAAATCACATTTTGACAACTGGGAAATGATTCCCATTGTTCTGCATTTTGTATCACATAACCTTCAAAGCACGAACGTCTGAAGTGCGGATTCACAAATCACATTTTGACACCTGGGAAATGATTCCCATTGTTCTGCATTTAGTATCAGATAACCTTCTAAGCACGCACATCTGAAGTGCGGATTTACAAATCACATTTTGAAAAGTGCTCAGAATGGTGAAAACTGCATGGTTTTGAAAGAATATTTGGTCTAGGGGGGGGGGGGTTCGTTTACTGACTTACAAAACTTCAACAAAAATATATTCAGAAGTCAATATTTTGTCTCAATTTGTATGCACAAGTGCCAAAGGGAAAGACTTATGTGTTACATGACAGTAGGATAAGGATTACACAATCATAAGGAAAGCAAACCCCAAATATCCCAAACTATGATCAAATGTAAAGAAACAATACCCCATCATTTAGTTAGAAACCAATATCACAATTCAAGACAATAAGACCATAGGATCACACATGTAAAAGGTGACAGTGAGCTTGGAACAAAACTATCTTGTTCGAGTCATGCAGAGTCAATGCTTTTCTCTCCCGAGTATTTCAATAAACCTAAGAGGCCTAAGCTAGGGTAGAAAAATTAGTGAGGCTTCAATCTAAAATAAGATACAGCCATTGGACTTCTCTTTCACAATTTGATCAGAAGAAATGTCTGAATGCAGACATATTGGGCCCTACCCTGCACTATTACCCAGATTCCAGAGTCCAGTTTTAAACTTCCGAATCAACAGTGAAGTCAGAGAAAATGACCACATATAGATAATCGTCCGTCTGAGTTCTGATATTTTTTTTAACTTAAAAGTGTAAATGAAGTTTCCTTTAAGAAGCTAAGTCAAGAAAATTTGAAGGGTGCTGCCGTAAGGTTATCATGCTTGTAACACCCCTGGAACTCTATGGTTTTGTGGCATTGTGGCATTAGAGCATCAATTACCCAGATGCGAGTAGAAATAATCTTGATTTACGTCATTAACAATTCCAAATTCAGTCAAAGTAATATCATATTTGAAATCTACATGTAAAATTACATCTAGAAATGAGGTTTTAAAAAGTTTTGAAAAAACAATTTTCTTTGAAAATGTGACTTCTAGCTCGGGGAGATTCCCCATAGACCCCATGCTATAAAATCACAAAAATGAAATATCTTTTCTTTTAGTGGACATATAATATTTTGCTTCATTGGACATATTTTCATTAGTATAAGTATCAGACACATAAGGGTTATATGAAAAATGAGCCACTTAAATTGATAATATTCAAGTTTAAGGGAACTTTATTATATACCTACCATGTTAATTGACCCGAATCAGCCACCTGGTGGTGAAACTGGTAACTACCTACTCGCATTTGGGTAATTACCAGACAACATGCTTGTTCATTTGACACCTGGGTTATGATTTCCAATTGTTCTGCATTTAGTATCACATAACCTTCAAAGCATGCACATCTGAAGTGCGGATTCACAAATCACATTTTGCCACCTGGGTTATGATTTCCAATTGTTCTGCATTTTGTATCACATAACCTTCAAAGCACGCACATCTGAAGTGCGGATTTACAAATCACATTTTGACACCTGGGAAATGATTCCAATTGTTCTGCATTTTGTATCACTTAACCTTCAAGGCACGCACGGCTGAAGTGCGGATTCACAAATCAAATTTTCACACATTGGAAATGATTCCCATTGTTCTGCATTTTGTATCACATAACCTTCAAAGCACGCACGACTGAAGTGCTGACATTTTTTTAGGTTATTATTTATTTCCATATTATTCAACACAATTATTTACATAGATTGTGAGGGGCCGAGGCTATATAGCATTATTGCCCCCCCCCCAAGTGCTGAATCACAAATCATAGTGACATCTGTCAACATATTATTGATGTAACCGTCATATTTCATCACAAATGTTTCTGGTATAAATTGTGTTTTTCATTACCAATATCAACAATGTCAATAAAATACCCGGAAACATCTAATGCTTGAAGAATATATTGATCATTTCTTGTTGCAGCTACGGTTTTATGATGTTCACTAGAGTATAGCCAAACAAGAGGCATGCAGGCAATTTATCTCAACAATTTAAAGGATGGGTATCGATATGGCGAACTTTTTGAACACACGTTTCTCTTAAACCAGTTATCAAAAAATTCTGAAGATTTTACACAGTGTAAATTAATGGTCATCTTTTGAATGGAAATATGATTTGAAAAATATATATATACATTCATCTATATTCAGCATTAATTGGCATTTGTATAACAGCAATTAATTTAACTTTTTGTAATAACGACCAGGTGGTGACATTTTGTTTAATTTGCTGTGCCATATTTAGAGAATCATACAGTGCGTATCAAAAAAAACGCAACAGATTGTTATCTTGGAAAAGCACAAAACCAGTGATAACAGCATTGATTTCATTTAATGCACCATAAAGCCACGTGTCTCCTCTTTACAATGATATATCATTCATTGATATCTGGTCATGGTTGGGTGAGTAATCATTCCATTTGCAAAGTGGGCCAAAGTTAGCTTCGGGCCAAGTTATAAACATTGCAAAAGTCAGTGTACGGAGCCCGATGCAATATCGGACGAAAACATAAAACCAATGCTGACTGCATCCTTTTAATTCAATGTACCAAAAAGCCAAATTACTCCTCTTTGCAATGGAATATCATTCATTCACAGGGAGTCATCTGTGGCCGAATAATCATTAATTTTGCAAAGTGGGGCAAAATTCAGCTCGGAACCAAGTTCAAAACATTGCAAAAGTCAGTACAAGGGCCATAGGGGTTATTGGAAGAAGGTGTGACAGGTATGGCATAGACAGTAAAGTGTTCATACTCATACTCTTGCAAGTATACATCCTATACCCCTTCAAATTGCCACCACTTCCTTGCACATAAAGATGCGCTCATCTGTCCACGTCATGCATGATTCAGCCCTGAATCATGTGTGGGTTAAAGCAAAGTAAAGCAGCCGATGGGCAAATCTTTCTCGAGGTTTTGCAATATCTGGTGGAGGAATTGTGAGCACAGATGCTCCTGAGATAGCTCCAAAAGAAAAAGTCACAATAATTCAAGTCAGGGGAACTTCCATTGGCACTTAGCCCTTGCACTGATTTTTTCAATATCTAAAACTTGGCGCAGAGCCGATTTTGACCCACTGTGCAAATGGAAGGATTTCTCACCCAACCATTACCACATGTGAATGAATTAAGAAATATAGACCAAAGAGTCGGTCGGTCGTTCGGGGTACAGAAAACGTTTGTGCCGAGACCAGCGGGGTGTTATTCGAAACTAGTAACCCTGCTCTGAGGTCTATATTACGATTCGAACATGAAAACTCACCAAATTTTTTCGAATATTCATCATGGTCCGCCATTACTACGACCCACCGTTATGACGTCACACATTACACGTATTAACTGGGTTGTATGATCTCGAATATAACCCAGCTGAAGCATTGACTTTGTTTACAGTTTAAAGAAGGCGTGAATACAGTCATGTTCGAATGACATATCATTGCGAAGAAGAGAGACATGGCTTTATGGTACATTAAATGAAATTGATGTAGTTAGCACTAGTTTTGTGATTTTACGAGATAACTACTTGTTGCGTTTTTTTGATACGCCCTGTATATCACCATCTGACTATTTTCCTTTTTCAAATCGAAAATCTCATTTTGATTATTATTCACATTTCCTATCATCATATTTATTTATTTATTTTTTATTTTTTTACATATTATATACAATTTATTTCTATCAAAAGTATTGGATAGTTCACAACTGAAACTATCAAACATTTTGCACATGTTTCGATTTGTCAACTTCTGATTTTTAAAACATCCATTGCATGCAGGGGGTTCCTGTATCCACTCTCTCCCCCTCACATCTTCCTCACATATAACCCTTTGGGAACAGAAAGCAAAGACACAAGAATAGAGGTTCGATGAAATCATATAAGATATCGGACAAAATCTCTGTTCATAGGTTTATTCTCTGTTCTCTACATTCTTTGGCAATGATGATCATATGAAGTTTTCCATGCAGAAAATTTGGTCCTTGTTCTTTGGGTATTGATAGACTCCAATGAATATCTAAATATCTTTCATCATTAATAACAATATGTCATTTATACAAGAGACTGCAGTCCTTTCAAAGGATGGCTACTCCCTGCACTCAGAAATTAAAGGAATTTTAATCCATCATCACACTCCCAGATTATTTCAACAATTCTTATTTTGGTAATATTAGTTAATGATAACATAGATTGCATCTTATTCCAATCTCTGGAGATCTTAATCCCAGGTAGATGTACTCTAAATCTGTGAAATTATAATTCTCAGAAATTCTAGTCACCAGGGGTTCTAGTTCTTTTACTAATCAATAAAGGTAATTTTAGTCCTGGTGATGTTACTCCTATAGAGTTAGAATGTCCTGTGCTTTACTCTCCAATAACATCTCCATTGATTTGACATCTGTGATCCACTGGTTCAATCGCATCTGCATGGTGGCGATCTGTTGTAGATCTAGCACCCTTGGTTGCACCCAGGTCATCTGCACTTTCTGGTCAACTTGGTCAATTCTGCCCTTCACTAATTGAAGCGACAGTGCCTTCATGACCAGGAGTTCAACTTCGCCTAATGGCAGCTTGGTTTCTGCTGAGATTTCATCAAAGGATAGTTGTCTGTTATTGGCTGGTCTTTTAAAGGTCATCTCCATTAGACATATTTATTTTAGAATTCAGGGAATGATAAAATTACTGAATTCTCAAGCTTTTGGGCAAGATGTCCTCATTTTTGGATATAGGCATCATATATATTTCAGTCTCGATCATAAACTGAACCATAATAGAAAATGATCACGAACTTTTATTATGGACTACTATGTCTTCAAGGTATGGAAAAAACATGTCGGCTTCTCACTTTACATCATGGATACTTCCCATGAGAAAAATCCCTCTCTCCTAAAGGCATTATTGAAATATCTGATTTCATGGAATTCTTATTATATCGGTTGGTATGCTACACACCAAGTTGTTTCATACCACTATAATTTCCCTTTGGATTAAATATTTTCATTTCAAAACGGTCATTAGCCGAAGAGGATAACCGCGGTAACACCATTTACGGACTTATTGTTGGCTTTCACGTCACTATAATCATGATTTGCCACCGCGGTAACACCATTTACGGACTTATTGTTGGTTTTCACGTCACAATGATCATGATTTGCCACTACCTTGTCATGTTACTCCATATTTATTGACCTACATTTTAGACAGGCAAGGCTGTTCATTGGCCAACAGTAGTTCTTATTGTCAAGGTTCTGATACATTAACATTTGTCCAGAAACTGTGAGACTATCAGTAGGATTCTTCAGATGAAAATTAAACCATTGGCAAAAGATAATTTATAATTTGTTATAGTGGCTTATTCGGGGACATGTATATTCAATTAAACAGAGAAACAAATCCCTTGGGACAATCATTTAGAGTTAATAAAAAAGTGGGATAACAGATAGAATATTTCCTCTCCGTTATATCAACCTCGACCTGCTTTTTATGGCTAATGGGGTATTGGTGACCTGATCTAGATTCTGTGTTAGTCTGCATTGTATTTCCTTTAAAATGGTTCATTCTGACTTTATGGAGAAAATCAATGAATGTCCATGACCAGATATCAGACGATCTATTCTATGTCATTTAAGATTATCAGAGGCTAGTATTTCAATGCAAGCCTCTAGTATATAATGGAACACTTTGGTAGGAAGAATTGCAATTCTCTTAAAATAAATGTACACTGTGAAAAAAGCCAAATATAGTTTGTACTATAGCAAACTATTTTTTAGAATAACCCCCATATAGTTTGAATTTCACCTAAAATATGGGCGAGAATAGTTTCTCCCATATTCCTAAAAACGGAACACTTTAATATAAGTCCTGATATACTCTCCGGTACGCCCATATAAACTAAAATAGGTTGCATATATCATTGCAGAGTGTATATCTTTACTGAACTATTTTCCACTTATACGCCTCCAAGTAGGAATCAAACCTACTATATGCGGTGAAAAACAACTTATATTAAATAAAAACAGACTATATCAAACTATACGTGACTTATTCTTCTCTTATTCTACCTCAAAACAAACTATACGCGTCTTATACGCGATATTACGTAATAGCTTCAGTTCCCGTGTTTGTTGTTTTAACAGATTAAAAGCAAAGTCCAGCATTGAATGTATTTTGTTTTCAATGCTAATTAATTCGCTTGTTCAGATTAATCTGGTCATTTCTATAACTGAGGGTTCTAATTTCCAACAAAAAGTCATTTATAAATGAAGCTTTTTACTTTCACTAAATTGGACAATGACAGTCGAATTATAATTAACACCGTGTTAAATTTTGGATTCATTTCATTAAGTCTGTGGAAAGTTACATTTTTCAGTTTACTTGGTATTGAAGTAAAAATAATATAGAATAAAATGTTTAATATAGTTGCAATAAGAGGGAATCGTAGAGAATATTTTTCCTGTATGGTAGGCAGTTGTTTCCTGTATTATAGGGGAACAAGATCTAATAACTATTTTAAAAAAATAATTTTTCTTTAATAATATTATTCGTGTATTACTTGAAGGGAACAACATATAATGCCATATAATATAGAATAATATTCTAGTCAGGAGCAAATAATATGTTGGCATTTGCAATCAAAACCGGATTATATGCGTTTATTTTTGAGCCGTTAATCCCTAAGTATCCTATGAAATGAGTTTCATTCACACTAATTAATCCATTTGTTAGGATTAATTTCTACAGCTGATGGTTCTTATTTCTCAAAAAATTATTTGCGAATTAAGTTTTTACATATTTATTTGATTGTATAATGTCCCTCGAGTTATGATAAAGATTGTGTTAAATTTGGGATTCAATCGATCAATCCATTGGAAAGTTACTTTTTTATTCTTAATTGATGAGTTTTCCTCACATTTTTACTCTATTGTTTATCTGTCACATCAGGTTTACAACAAACACCATTTAAATCCCTCTCTTACACAGGTACGAACAACCACCTGTACTATTCACTTTGCCAACCAAAAACACCCATGACACGGAACTGCTCAATATTCAATTAATATATTACGCATTTTATACAAGCCCGTACCTAAGGACCCCCTTCCCCTGGCCAACAATTCTTAAAAAAATGCAGTTTTTCACCTTTCACATACATGTATTGACATGTCAGAGCAATGTAATTAGTAAAACTTTAATCCCTAAGTATTCAATTTCTATGAATTGAGTTTTGTTCACACTGATAAATAATCTGTTTGTTAGAGTTAATGTTTTAATTTCTACAGCCTATGGCTCTAATTTCCACTAAAAAATACAAATTAAGCTTTTCATATTTATTTGATTGTATAGTGTACCTCGTGCTATGATTAACATTGTGTTAAAATTTGAATTCAATCGATTAACTCATTGGGAAGTAATTTCTTGATTTTTAATTATGGGGTTTCCTCACAATTTAACTCCATTGTTTCTCTGTAACATTAAGTTTAATACAACAAACAACATTTAAAGCCCTCTCTTACACAGACACAAACAAACACCACTATTCACTTCGCAAACCACACAAAACGTTTATAACACAAAATTGCAAAAATATTCAGCTCAATTTCTATGTTAGTCTCAGGCTCAATACATTACGCATTTGATACAGGTCTGTGGCCATGGGGGAGGGTCATTGGGTTCATGTGAATCTCCCACCCCTTGCCAAGATTCTTTCAAAATCATACAGTTTTCACCAATCTGAGCACTGTTTAGTGATTTTTGGCCAACATTATCAATTTTGACCCCCTTGGTACGTTTTGAAAATTGACCCCCTGAGCTCAAACTTATTACGCGCCAATTATATACCAGAAATATTGCTCAGATTTCATCTGAAAAATCACTTATAATAAATTAGGAAATAACATGCTTTATGTAAATGATGCAAGTACTATAAGCCATATTAAAACAAAGTTAAAACTTGTATTCTTTCACATTTCACAATTCATGTGTTTTCCGTGATAAACAACAGAGATTAGCCCGTGCAATACAATTGTTTCTATTAGAATTGGACCATTTCTGTTTATAACAGCTGGTTTTATTAATCATTCTTTGTTTTCCGTTTCAACATATACATTTACAAAAGGTGCAAGATTTGGTATGTTTAGTTGATAATGTAATGATGCAAATAAAGAAACGGGCGCATTTTACATTTATTGCAAATGTTTCATCTGACAAATTGATGATTATGTTTTGAGCAAATTGGTGCATGGAAGAACAAACTGATGCAAATAACATACAGTATGGGCATACAGCTATGTCAGAGCAATATGATAAGTAAGACTTTAATCCCTAATTATTCAATTTCTGTAAAATGAGTTTCGTTAACACTGATAACTAATCTGTTTGTTAGAGTCAATGGATTAATTTCCTACAGCCAACGATTTAAGTTACACAAAAAAATAATTTGCAAATTAAGCTTTTTATATTTATTTGATTGTATATTATCCCCCATGTTATGATTAACATTGTGTTAAAATTTGGATTCAATCGATCAATTCATTGGAAAAATATTTTTTTAATTCTTAATTAATAAGTTTTCCTCACATGTTTACTCTATTGTTTCTCTGTCACATCAAGGTTACAATAAACGACATTTAAATCCCCCTCTTATATTACACAGGCACAACCACCTGTATTCACTTTGTCAGCCACAAAAAACAATCTTGACACAGAAATGCTCAATATTCAGCTAAATACATTACGCATTTTATACAGGCCCGTACCTAGCATCCCCCTCCCTTTGACCAACAATTCTTTCAAGATCATGCAGTTTTTCACCATCTCGTACATGTATTGACATGTCAGAGCAATATAAAAAACTTTAATCCCCAAGTATTTAATTCCTATGACATGAGTTTTGTTCACTGATAACTAATCCGTTTGTTAAGAGTTAAAGGATTAATATCTACAGCCGATGGTTCTGATTTCCACAGAAAAATAATTTGCAAATTAAGTTTTCCTAATTTATTTGATTCTTTAGTGTCCCTCTTGCTAAGATTAATATTGTGTTAAAATTTGGAATTAATCGGTTGACTCATTGAAAAGTTAATTTTTTGATTTTTAATAAATGACTTTTCTTCACCTTTAATCCACAGTTATTACCCAAATGTTGAAAGAAACAGTGAAAGGTTAAACTAGGCTCATGTTTCAATTTGAGACATAGTATGTGATGCGCTCCAGGTACATCAGTATATTAAACAGTTCAATTTAGCGCATTAGTATACATGTAGTTCAATTTGGCGCATTATTTATGATGTTCAAGGTACATCCTTACAGTGAAAGATTAAACTTGGCTCATGAGTATGTTTCAATTTGGGGCATAGTATGTCATGTGCTCCAAGTACATCAGTATTTTAAAAAGTTAAATTTGGCGCGTTAGTATAGATCAATTTGGCCCGCTATTTATTATGTTCAAAGTTCATCCTTGTATTGAAAGATTAAACTTGGCTTAAGAGTATGTTTCAATTTGGGAATAGTCTGTGACATGCTCTAAGTTCATAAGTATATTAAAAAGTTCAATTTGGCGCATTGGTATAGTTCAATTTGGCGCATTATTTATGGTGTTCAAAATACATCATTATATTGAAAGGTTAAACTTGGCTCATGAGAATTTTTCAATTTGGGACATAGTATGTACATGCTCTAATTTCGTCAGTTAGTTCAATTTGGCGCATTATCATAGTTCAATTTGATAATTTGTTATTCATGATGTTCAAAGTACATCCTTACATTGAAAGGTTAAACTTGGCTCATGAGTATGTTTCAATGGGACATAGTATGTGATGTGCTCCAAGTTCATCAGTATATTAAAAAGTTCAATTTGGCGCATTATCATAGTTCAATTTGGCGCGTTATTTATGATGTCCAAAGTACATCCTTACATTGAAAGGTTGAACTTGGCTCATGAGTATGTTTTAATGGGACATAGTATATGATGTGCTCCAAGTTCATCAGTATATTAAAAAATTCAATTTGGCGCATTATCATAGTTCAATTTGGCGCGTTATTTATGATGTTCAAAGTACATCCTTCATGTCCTTACATTAAAAGGTTAAACTTGGCTCATGAGTATGTTTCAATTTGGGACATAGTATGTGATGTGCTGTAAGTTCATGAGTATATTAAAAAGTTCAATTTGGCGCATTAGTATAGTTCAATTTGGCGCATTATTTATGATGTTCAAAGTACATCCTTACATTGAAAGATTAAACTTGGCTCACGAGTATGTTTCAATTTGGGACATAGTATGTGATGTGCTCCAAGTACATCAGTATATTAAAAAGTTCAATTTGGCGCATTAGTTTCGTTCAATTTGGCGCATTATTTATGATGTTCAAAGTACATCCTTACATTGAAAGGTTAAACTTGGCTCATGGGTATGTTTCAATTTGCGACATAGTATGTGATGTGCTCAAATTTCATCAATATATTAAAAAGCTCAATTTGGTGCATTAGTGTAGTTCAATTTGGCGCATTATTTATGATGTTCAAAGTAAATCCTTACATTGAAAGGTTCAACTTGGCTCATGAGAGTATGTTTCAATTTTGGACATAGTATGTGATGTGCTCAAACTTCATCAATATATTAAAAAGCTCAATTGGGCGCATTAATGTAGTTCAATTTGGCGCATTATTTATGATGTTCAAAGTAATTCCTTACATTGAAAGGTTGAACTTGGCTCATGAGAGTATGTTTCAATTTTGGACATAGTATGTGATGTGCTCAAACTTCATCAATATATTAAAAAGCTCAATTTGGCGCATTAGTGTAGTTCAATTTGGCGCATTATTTATGATGTTCCAAGTACATCCTTACATTGAAAGGTTAAACTTGGCTCATGAGTATGTTTCAATTTTGGACATAGTATGTGATGTGCTCAAACTTCATCAATATATTAAAAAGCTCAATTTGGCGCATTAGTGTAGTTCAATTTGGCGCATTGTTTATGATGTTCAAAGTTAATCCTTACATTGAAAGGTTTAACTTGGCTCATGAGAGTATGTTTCAATTTTGGACATAGTGTGTGATATGCTCCAAGTACATCAGTATTTTAAAAAGGTCAATTTGGTGCGTCAGTATTTATCAATTTGGCGCATTTTTTATGATGTTCAAAGTTCATCCTTACATTGACAGCTTAAACTTGGCACATGGGTATGTTTCAATTTGGGACTTATAATTAGTATGTGATGTGCTCTCAGTTCAATAGTATATTAAAAAGTTCAATTTGGCGTGTTAGCATAGTTCAATTTGGGGCATTATGGACATCATAAATAATGCGCCAAATTGAACTATACTTATGCGCCAAATTGAACCTTTTAATATACTAATGAACCTACAGCACATCACATACTATGTGTCAAATTGAAACATACTCATGAGCCAAGTTTAACCTTTTTAACCATTTTATTCATGAAATTGTAAAATATAATGTACTCTGTAATTACTGTATGCTATGTAATCGACAAATATATTGAAAAATATGCATATTTTATACTTAAACTTTGTGTTTTGTTCTGTATCGTTTTGTGACACTTGTTGATAAGGTTGATCCGTATTATTATATATGTTAGAAATTGTACATGTAAACTAATGATTTGGATACAAAAATAAGTTTTCGTTCAGCGCAATCCCCCATCCTTTATAATATTTAATCCCGGGGATTTTTTACAGATTCCTTATTGTATTTCATACATTTGAATATTGTTTTCTTTTTAAAATTTAAAAATGCATCATCATCATCATCAACTTCTGCCACATAATTATACAACAATTAATTTTCCTCCAGATGGCTTCACTCTAAACCTCCGAACCCCCTCCCTGACTAGGGGTCTAATTTGTCATAGGAAAGTCAGGATTGCCTCAATTTAAAACTGACAAAGAACAAAGACATCACGATACGCTTTACCTCATTTTAATTTTAACTACACCGAAATTGCTGCTGATTTTTGGTAAGACTAAAAACAAACTTCAAATTAATAAGCGCTTATTTTACTCAAAACGGAGAATAAATAATTTACTGATTTATATTTGAAATATACCCAAATTTTTCATTCCACTTTTTGTATTGACTTACATTTTTAAAATATATTTTAAGTTCATTTAAAATCATATACTTCAACATCATAAAATTTTAAATGAGATCTCAGACATTAAGTTTGATTAAGTTAAATGCATGATTTTATTTGTTTACATTAGCGCTTAATTGAAAAATAAAATAGGATTAACTCCAAGCAAATTAAGGCACATCAAAGAATATATAGCCTCGCATATAAGAGGCGTATAGTTTGTTTTTGGATTACGTAATACATACTATACTCATCTTTTCTATGTACCTATATCCTACTATTCCTGGCTCTTAAGAATAATCGGAGAATAGTTCAAACGATATTTAGTATCGTAGAGTATATACCACCAATACTAAATGTTCCGCTTCTGAGGCAAGAATAGTTTGTTTCCCATACCGAATACAATATAGTGAGGACATACTGAACTATATTCACAAATAGTTTGCCACTTATACGCTACTATATTTGGCTTTTTGCACAGTGGTAATTATTTGATTGGTTTGATTATTTATTTATTCATTATTTAACTAAATCATAATTTGCGCTCTAATATAAAAAAGCTCTCCACATTTGGATTTTTATCTTCATTGAATTTCTCAATAAATTAATTTCTTTATCTTATCACTTCAGGCCAGACTGCACTTTCTACCATTTTGATGACCATGAGCTTTTTCAGATCAACGTAACTCATTCCTAACATGGTCTAAATCTTTCATTTTTGCACAAAAGGTGCTCTAGTTTACTCAGATTAATAATTGTGTGTTAATTTTTCTTTAGAATGTATAAATAACTAGAAAATTGAGCAGTCTTTTTTTCAAAATTGCAAAAAATTCTCATCATGTAGATCTGGCTCAATATTAGAATGAAACCATGGCCCAATGATAGCGTGGGTTGTAATCAGAATTACAAGGACAAAGACAAGTAAAAGTATGTACGTCATCATCATGCTTTGTCATTTAAGCCTCTTTGTTTGCAAAATCCACATCTGTGCTTCAACATTTATAACTTCTCAATACTTTGAATGTTTTGCTAGGTGTCACATACAAGGTGACCCGAAAGTTCAACTGTTTTTGATTTTGGAACAACTTTCAAGGGAATTTTAATGAACATGTGTGAACCACTGTTGAACGGATTCTAAAATCATGAAGATTTATCATAGTTGAGATAGTTATTCCAAATTAGAAGGTTGCATACTTCTGTATCACCTCATACAATTTTGATAACAATTGATCAACTTTATCTCCGAAGCATGCCGGTGTGATTAAAGAAAGTAAAAGATATGAAGAGCTGTAAAATGTTGGAAAGGGTTAATTGCAGTGCAATGTTGGAAACATTGAAAACATTGTTGAAGAATGATTTAGTCATGAAGAATGACTTAAATACTATATTTGTTGTAAAAGTAATAGGGAAATTTTACTATACACCAAGGTTATAATAAAAAACAGCAGTATATAATTGCAACAGCTTCAAATTGAGATAACATGGGCCATTTGCCCTAATAATTAAATCAACAAAGAAAATAATTGAATTTTAGAAACATCATTTATTTGTGCATTCATGGAATCTGAGATCTCATAAAATCTGTACATAAATACATATTTACATAGAATATAAAACCTAAGCCTAAAATCTTCCATTTTGATAAATGTCATGACAATTGATCACGTTTGTAGAAAACAACACTTAATCACAGATCGCTTTTTATTTTAACATAAAACAAACTTTGGCAGATAATAAATTAATACAATTATTTTAAATAATATATTTGAAGAATCACAGCTTTTTTGTATTAATATGAGTACATACTTGATTTTTCACTGACATGGTTTATATATTTGACATATTTTTTATTCCATAATCTTTTTTTCACCAAACATTTGGAGTATACATGTACAATTGCTTTGTAAATGGAGTAGAAGATAAAACCAATATCCACCAAAATAGAATATATAGACCATGGGAATATATATAAATAGCCAAACATAAATTCATGTGTGTCATACATGTACAAATATTGTCTAAGTGCTCCTATGTGACAATAACTACCTTGATTTATTCTCCCACGTGAGTAACTCTTTAGTCCCGGTCTTTAGTCAGGTAAATCTCTATTATTTGACCTTAATAGTCTGTATCCATTGGTAATTTGCACTAAAAGTGTGTCAATAGTTTTCAGTTATCAAAAATATCTTTAGCTAATATCACAGATTGTGCTCGTCCTCATTCCATCTTTGCATGATTTGTACATCACTTACCAGTATATAGTTTACAATCAGTTTGGTGCCAAATTCCGAATTGGTACTATTTAAGCACTATATGTAGACATACACTCCCCATGTCTTATCTGTATGCTATTCAATTTCAGTGTTTATCTTTGCATTTCAGCCACACCATAATATTTTATTCACAATTCAAGATAGGGTATGTCTTGAAAAAAGTGGCCTGTTGCTCACTCTGAGCCGGAGAGATTTCGCATAATGGGTTTTAGCTATAACGTATCCGCAACCGCATCTTGCTTTAATTGAACTGCGTGAATGCGTTACAGATTTTAGATATTGAGCTAAAAATAATGTGCAAAACCATTCTATTAGCCAGTCAAAGGAACATAAAATATGAGCGTGTGCACATCCCATACACAGAACGCAACATCTGCACTCAGACCGTACATATACTAATATAGACTACTTTTTAGTGTACAACTCAGGGAAGGCCAATCGTGCAGGAGACTCACGATCATTCATCGAACCAGTCGTGGAGTTCAAGTTAGAGTGATTGACACTTTTCTTTTTATGTATCGCTGGAAATTCATTCAGTTTCTCAGTTGATTTCGTCACAGATTCAGTGTCAGTGGCGCCCTCTGGTGTGTTGATTGAATCGGGCATGTATGATAAATTCATATTTTTGATGGTTTCATTATTCAGCCCCAGGTGGTAGCCTTTACTGTGCATTCTGGTGGATACTGGAAGATTTGTTGGGATCTCGAAATCTTTTAATTCCTGAAATAATTGCATGAAATTACAGATGATTACAGAAATACAAAAAATTGATATACATTTTGTCACAAGTTGTCACACATTTGGTTATTCACATGTAACATCACTCCAGGGGGGAGATCTTCCAAAGTTCAGCCTTCGTATTCGATCACATGGTACCCATGTGCTAGATCCATATAAGGCTTACATGACCATATAGGAATCCAACTGACCGTTGTCCGCCATTTTGAATATCAAGTGATAGATCCATATAAGGCTTGTATGACCATATAGGATGGCTAAGGGGAATCCCCGAATACGAAAGAATATGATAGTATTGTGGGAGCTACTCACTTCTTCTGACATCACTCTTAAGATTATAATTTGCATTTACTTATAATGACCTTTTAAACAAATAACTACTCAAAAGTTTAGTTCAGGTAAATAATTTGAAATTTTAAAAAATTAATTTGAGTTTACAAATATAATATAAATTAAAATAATTACTTCAGATCTATGAATTATTTAGAGAGAAATATAAACACAGTTTGAAAATTACATTTTTTTGTCCCCTTATTTTACAAGTAGTGCTATCCAATATATTTTATTTTCATTTAATGATTTCCATGGTAACAACTTACAGGCATAACAAGTGCTTGATATGGTGAGCATACATGCTCAAATTTTTGGATCTCATTTGGGTCGATTTTGTTTTCACCAAAATGTTCTCGTCTCTCTTGACGATCTGCTTGCCTCCGTATTAGTTCTCTTTCCATCTTCACCCCAAGGCCCTGAAACATTGATATAAATTTGAATAAATATGATAGTTTGGCATTTCTAAATATGGTATATAATTAAAGTAAATGCCCAATATATGGCATTTCAACATAATTTCAATCTAAAATATTTCAATATATGGCATTTTAATATATGGCATTTCAATTTATGGCATTTCAATATATATGACATTTCAATATATCAGATTTCAATATATGGAGTTTCAATATATGGAGTTTCAATATATGGTATTTCAATATATCGCATTTCAATATATGGTATTTCAATATATGGCATTTCAATATATGTCATTTCAATATATGGAATTTCAATATATGGTATTTCAATATATGGCATTTCAATATATGTCATTTCAATATATGGAATTTCAATATATGGTATTTCAATATATGTCATTTCAATATATGGTATTTCAATATATCGCATTTCAATATATGGTATTTCAATATATGGCATTTCAATATATGTCATTTCAATATATGACATTTCAATATATCAGATTTCAATATATGGAGTTTCAATATATGGAGTTTCAATATATGGCATTTCAATATATGTCATTTCAATATATGGTATTTCAATATATCGCATTTCAATATATGGTATTTCAATATATGAAATTTCAACATATGCCATTTCAATATATGGCATTTCAATTCATGGCATTTCAATATATGGTATTTCAATATATGGCATTTCAATAAATGGCATTTCAACATATGGGATTTCAATATGTGGCATTTCAATATATGGCATTTCAACATATGGTATTTCAATATATGGCATTTCAATATATGGCATTTCAATATATGGTATTTCAACATATGGCATTTCAATATATGGCATTTCAACTTATGGCATTTCAATATATGGAATTTCAATATATGGCATTTCAATATATGGGATACCAACATTATGGCATATTAATATATGACATTTCAATACATGGAATTTCAATATTACGGAATTTCAATATATGGCATTTCAACATTATGGCATATTAATATATGGCATTTCAATATATGGAATTTCAATATTGCAGAATTTCAATATTGCGGAATTTCAATATATGGTAATCATTTGGATCAAGGTCTGAATTTACTTTAACCAAAGTGTTATAACTATCAAAAATTTAAGTACACTAAGGTCAGTGTCATCGTGCACTATTTCATGTAACAACCTACGTTTATATGAGCTCCAATGAATTAACAGTTGCTAATCTGATTACTCTCCCCAGTGGTGGGCAAACTGCATCCGCAACCCAGCGTCATATAAACAGTGTGACACTAGAAAGAGGGGGGTGTTCAAAAGGTGTAAGGATAATGAAATTGAATTGCACATCTTCCAAACCGCAGTGATCAGGATATATTCATAGTAATATTACTAAAAGTATTTAAAAGTAATCTTAGTCCCTAGTGTGCCAATAATTAAAATCATGGTATTAGACTAGATATATCGTATTTCTGAATTTATGACATTTGATGTCATTTATGACATTGTGAATGCTGACACTCAGTTACACATTGCAAGAGAATACTCTCTTTGGTCTTCCTAGGCACCCTATTGTTTTTTATAAGTCCAATCACGATTCTCATGTTTGAAATGAAGAACAGACACGATTTTACTAAATGCCATTATATGTCTCTTAAATGATTAAATTCAAAACTTACTGCTGACTCTATGAGTCTTGAGGAATGCTATTATATGTCTCTTAAATGATTAAATTCAAAATTTACTGCTGACTCTATGAGTCTTGAGGAATGACATTATATGTCTCTTAAATGATTGAATTCAAAACTTACTGCTGACTCTATGAGTCTTGAGGAATGACATTATATGTCTCTTAAATGATTGAATTCAAAACTTACTACTGACTCTATGAGTCTTGAGGAATGACATTATATGTCTCTTAAATGATTGAATTCAAAACTTACTGCTGACTCTATGAGTCTTGAGGAATGACATTATATGTCTCTTAAATGATTGAATTCAAAACTTACTGCTGACTCTATGAGTCTTGACGAGTTGCTTGCAGCTGTCAATGTGGATTTGTTTGTCTTGAAAGGGAAAGTCTGAGGCCTCTGGGTCAATGTAGTGTCCTCCTTCTTGGAAGTGTCTGGTGGGATATTTTGTCCTCCTTTGTCTGTGCCAGTGATGATAACTTCACTTGATCCTTTCTGAAATGTCATGAAGTCAATAATTACATGATGTCAATAAAATAGGAGGTCAACAATACTTATTATGTCAATAAAACTTTGAAGTCAACGGTAAGATGATGCCAATAATGATATGAAGTCAAAAAAACTATAAAGGACCAAAAGCAATAATATTGCATCAATGCTAATATGAAGTCAACAAAACTATGATTAAAGTAAAATGTTGAAGTCAATAATAATATGACGTCAATAATACTATAACGTCAATAATACTATGAATTCAATAATACTATTTTATCAATAATACTATGAATTTGGTCAACAATAATATGCCATCAATAATACTATGAAGTAAATATTTAAGAGGATGTCAACAACCATAATTAGCCATACAAAAACAATAATCATTTGACATCCACAACAACAACAACCATGATAACAAATATGAAGTGAATAACAATATAAATCTGATTTGTCCTATCTTTTCACCCATCTTCCTACGTAAAATGCCACTTAACATGCTCATAACAAATTTACAGTTCCAAGAAGCTTATGCAACACCCTGGGAGCACACACCACAGATAACATGTGACTTTATGATGTGCGGGAAAGTCACACATTCTATGTTATTACAGTATTATATAATGCAATGACTCCAGGCATCGTCATTTGTCAAAGGTATTTCATTTCGTAATTCCAATGAGAGCTAGTATGCAGAATGAATTCCAGACTCAATCTCATGTGACAGTAAACATGGGATTGGAAGGAAAGACTCACCTTTTATTTGCGAATGCAACTAATGCCTGTCGGCTACCAGATTACCTTGTATTTTATGACCAACTCATTTAAATATGGATTGAATAGTGGCAGGTACTATTCATATCTAAATGATTTTCCAATAAAATAGTATGTTAATCCGGTAGCTGGCTGCCGTTATAGTTGCAGTCGCGAATGCAAGCAAAGTTGTCAATCTCAGTGGTGTGGTTTTAATTATGCCAAGTGTGTTCCAGAATACGCTTTAATTTTTGAGAAACGATTATCTATCAAATCAAATGAAACAAGAATATGAAGTAATAAAAAAAGCTCGCATTTTTTGAAAAATGACCTAGTCATGCCTCATAATTAAGTGTCAATATAATGTTGCCTTGTGCAAGGTATAATATATGTCAAGAAATGACCTCACATATGTCAAAGTATTACCTCATATATGTCAAGAAATGGCCTCACATATGTCAAAGTATTACCTCATATATGTCAAGAAATGGCCTCACATATGTCAAAGTATTACCTCATATATGTCAAGAAATGACCTCACATATGTCAAAGTATTACCTCATATATGTCAAGAAATGGCCTCACATATGTCAAAGTATTACCTCATATATGTCAAGAAATGGCCTCACATATGTCAAAGTATTACCTCATATTTGTCAAGAAATGGCCTCATATATGTCAAAGTATTACCTCATATATGTCAAGAAATGGCCTCACATGTGTCAAAGTATTACCTCTTAAATGTCAAGGTATTGCCTTATATAAGTCAACTTTGTCAAGGTAATACCATAAAATGTTGATGAATTACCTCATATATGTCAAGGTATTACCTCATATATGTCAACTTTAGATTTTAGATGGATAAAGGTATCTTTTTCTTATAGTAATTGTTATGCATTTTTTTTTATCAATTTGAGGTGCCAGCCACCAACAAGATACACCTGGATATTTTTGTCTAATTCATTCATTCATTTGATTCAATAGTATAAAGATTTATTTGTACTGTACTATTAGGGCCAAACTTACATCCAACAATAAAAATTATTCTTATTTTACAGAACACAAATAAATGATATCGCACCCTTGTCCCTGTTTGATTGTTGGCTGCTGATGCTAGCCAAGTCCCATCATCTGTCAGGGTTTCCCCGCGTTCCAACGTGGGAATCTCGCTCATTCTGCCATCCTCACCTCCCTCAACGTCAAGCTTACTGACTTTTCCTAACATATCTGAAACATAACAAAGTAAACATTTAAAAGTGTTCACCTCTTCGATGTAGACTGGGTGAATTAATTGTATACTCCTGGCTGAACTATCAGATTGTTTAAACATGTCTCAGGTAGAGTGCACATAGCAAAGAAAGGTTCATTATTAATTTCTAGCTAGCCTTGCTTCAAGATTGTCTACCACCCCCGTGTACTCCACCTTCAACAATGTGTTGTGTTGAGAAGGTGAAGCACATTGGGGGGGGGGGGTTACACAGTCTTGAGGCAAGACTGATGTCTTAACAGATTTTTATGGAAACTTTTATATGGCAAGAAATAATCAGAGGTAACACCCCCCCCCCCTCCATTAGTTTGACAACCAGATGTCTCTGCATTGGACAGGGTATGTGATGTTAAAGCCTGTTAAAATTGGAATTTTAATTTTTATCCTCATATGATAACAAGAAATTTAAGACAAGCTCACAATAATTTGTCAAAATTGCCAAACATCAATTGCCAAACTTAACTTTTGCTTTACTACATGACCTGAAAGGTACCAAACTATTTGAGAGGAGTGTTATTATAAAGGGAAGATTGTATATACCATTGGCCTCTGCTTCTATTGCCTTATGGTACTCCCAGGTTTTTGGATTTTTCAGGTCCCACAGTTCACTCTGCAAAAGGAAATATTTTTTATTAAAATGTGACAAATATATTACTTTGTGGCCATATGGTTATACCTTCTACTAAGGCGTTAGCTTTTATTTAAAATTCAATCCCTACATCAATGTTTTAGCTTCGGTATTATGTATTAATATTTTCAAAAGTATCTGCAGCATATGTTCAATGCCTCTGCCTGTTTAATATGTCAATATCTCAAGTGAACGTGTATTATAAATTTAAATGGTAATCATAGTGCCTGTCCAAAGGATTACTGTATACACATTTTTAATGATTTCTTCGGCTATAATCAAATTTTGCTTCTGCCTGTTGCAAATGTGTCAATTTTGTAAGTGAGTGCAAGAAATAAATAATTGATCATGATACCTGTCCAAATGTTCCAATATGGTGTCCCTGAATATCCCATAATTTAGCAGTCTTGTCTGTGGAAGAGCTTAGGATGAATTTCCCCTTGGCGTGTGATATGAACTCCACACTGGCAACTGCACCATCGTGTCCCCGCCATGAGGTTTCAAGGGGAGGGGCTGTCTTTACACGCTACAAAAATTATTATATATGTAGTCTGAGACATATAAAACAGTTTATCTCTGCATTTATATACGTACTATTATGTAATATACTAATATATACTTTAATTTTTATATTGACCCACAAGTGAGTGTGACATACATTCATTATATCAAAATTAGAAATAACAGCATTTTTACGATAATGTTCCCAATTTTAAAAAAATGAATAAAAGTTGTAGACTGGTAAAGATTAAAACGAACCAAAATTAACAGTTATTCAAAAGCTTCCTTTTGCTAGATTTATGAAAGGATGAGGGTGTAATTTAAAGATACACCTTCTGGAGGGCAATCCTCCTTATTACAAACTAAAATTGAATACAATTATTTCTATTAGTATATGTTTATGGTGATACTAAACGATAACTAAGGTGGTATGTAATTGAAAGATAGGATAAATGTGAAACTATACAATACAGCAAAGCTTGGCGAATTTGAGAAATAAAGACCTATTGATCATTTTCAGTATTCCGATAAAAAATTATTTATTAATTTCAAAAACCTACTGAAACCATCAAGTAATACTTTCTGTCAGTTTAACCGTCAAATCTAATTAATCGAACAATTTTTTTGCTGTAAATTGACGCCAATACTATTTTCTTCCTCTCTGGCACCGTCATTTTTTAATGACATTTTGTTTCTTTACCTTTCTTTCTGGTTGTACACAGTATTCTAAAATATTCCAGACAGCGAGATTCCCAGTTGTATCCCCTGTCAGGAGAATACTGTTGCTCGGATTTGTGCTTAAAGCTAACACAGACTCATCAGCTAATTCCGGTGCATAGAAACTTCCTACAATAAACAATGATACAAATACAATATTTAGATGTCAATATATACAATTAACAAAATACAATCAATTGAAAAATAAAGAATATCCAATCAATTTATTAAGAATAAGCTTGTTTGTTTATCATGTTTGGAGCATTGATAGCATTTTTTCAAAGTCTAGCTATTATAATTGTGCAAATTACAGTATTACAACAGGCCATGGGAACATAATTTCCCAATATCTTACTTTCAATTTGTACATTTAAGTCATGTGGTCCCTTTAGACCTCATACCTAATTCATGCTTCTGTCCAAATATACACCACCAAAAGAGTGTCCCTGCCTCACTTGAGATCAGAGTGGCACTCTCCACACGCTTGCTAGATGCCCTTCCTGCTAGGAATAGCAGCTTGTCTACAGGGGCCGGTTGTCTAAAAGAAAATACTATGAATCAGTTACAGGGGCCGGTTGAATAAGTTAATAATTATAATGTGTAAGGTGATTATTGCATAAAATGAAAATGTTCATTGTATCTAAGAACATAGAATTATTTTTACAAAACAGTTGACTAAACTAAATATACACATGCAAAGAATAAATCATGAAAATAAAATTTATAAATGTTGATCAACTATGAGAATATTGGTTTGTAATAGGGATGGATGATTTATTGGAAAAGTTTATGTGCCTGACATCTATTTTTAAACATGCTTGCAAACTTTGCCATACTCAGCAATGTAAGCTTTCCACAAATACTAATTTATAATAATGAACTAATAATAATATTATTAATGTGACATCTACCCTTTTTGTAGTTTGTGACGCTTTCTGTGACGTGAATTAGGTCGGGAAGATTTGGAACTAGCACTGGATGTCGTGGAGGAAGCAACGCCACCTATTGGTTTCTTAGTAGCTCTAAATATAAATTGAATGGAATGATATCATCAAAAGGAATAACCAAATTAATTTGATTTACAAAATTTTAAGTTTACATATTTTTTCATTTTAAAGTAATATACATGAACATCAAAAAATCAAAAATCAAATTAAGTAAGGTTACACTCTAGGGGGAAAATAAGATGAAACAATCAAAGAAAAAATATAGGAAAACATAATATAAAAACAATTAAATATAAAATTGAAATAAAAAGGATAACTAAAAAACTTATACTTAAAGAAAAAAGGAAAGTAGAACAATATAAAATGGATGTATACATTTATAATTATGAAAACTTACGCTGTAGGAGAACCTTTTTTGAGTCGTATGATGAGCTTTTCAGTGTCTAAGGTCCAGACCAGAATCTCACCATCAAAACTACCAGTGGCTAGGAGATTAGGACTACAGTAATCTATAGCTAAAATATCATCCTGATGGAGCTGACCTCCCTTCCAGTGATTGTCTGCCTTGAAAATAGCATTCTGGAAAGAGGGCAATTAGAGATGTATGTTCTGTTGTTGTATATCCTTTCATTTCTTCTAAAGTAAGTTCTTTACAGTAACACTAGATGGTATTGAACACTCAATTTCCTGTTGATTAACATGGTGAAAAGAGGCTTTGTATAAAAACCTCCTACCTCATACCCACCTACCCACCTAAGTGGGACATGATACAGTCATTGAAGGGTTCAAAGATTTTTAAATCTCAAAATAGATCCATAAATAAAGGCATATGGGTGCATTGTAATGTGTAATGACCCGAGGCGCCCCAGGGGAATAACTAACTAACTACCGCGAGCATAGGACCAAAAAGCCAGATAAAGAAATTGAAAGAAAGTGCTAAATTCGATGCCCCGAGTGGGATTCAAACCCAGCTGGGCTGTAGTAGCAAGTAGCAACCTGCTATCAGGGGTCGTTACAAGTGCATCTACATTCATCATAAATTAAGATTTAATAAACTAAGATCTTCGAAATTGAACCCTTCAAAGACTGTATCATGTCCAACGTACGTGGGTAGGTGGGTATGAAGTAGGAGGTTTTTTATACAAGGCCGTGAAAAGATAACAGTAATATACTTACATCTGGATTAGAGTCGTCATATATGGTAATAAGGCGACTCCAGCCAACAGCGATGATATTCTTTCCTCCTTCTACAACATGAACCAACCCTGTAATCTCAGTATCACTTACGGGTTCAGCCTTGTTAATGTTATGGCCATTTTGGAAGTTCCACACCTGAAGATGGGAAATAATCAGAATAATATTGGGATATATATACTGGTTTTTACCAATTATCATCACATCTGGAATTTGCAATTTATTCTCAATTTCCGGGATGTTTGGATGTATTATGTTTTTGTTGGTTTATCCCTGATTGATGTAAGCTTTTGCTTTAACAATTGTATAGTTTTAAATCATGTCGTTTGCGCTTTCCCATGAAAGTAGATTTAAATTATAAATAGTTTATTTAGTTTTTATTTATGTGTCACTGGTGATACATTAAAGGGGCAATAAGGACTGTAGAGAAAATCGGAAGGTTTTTTCATTTTTTCGGAGCTATCAAGGCAACATTTGGTTTAACATCTTCTTTGACATACCTATTTTCTTAAAATGTATGGATAAATTATCAATTTCAGCATTAAGAAGTGTAAATTCAGTTCAAAGCTTGAAAAAGAGGACTTCCACTTTTATATTTTTAAGATCCACCATGTTTCAAGGGGAATATCAGCTAAAATAATGTTTATCTAGGGGGTATCTTTGTAGATAATAAAAATAGATGTTAGTCTTGATGAACTATCCAAACTTAAATATATTTTGACACTGGTCCATAATCGTTGAATGACCCCTCTGCACTAATTATTGCACCTTTAAAATGATAAATAATTACACTACCTATTGCTAACCCAAATGGACACTTTGGGTCAGCATTTGTAAATACAAACACTTTTTGCAATGAAAAATAAATAAAAAATAAACACCTTCATTGTTCCGTTTCTTGCTCCAGTGAAAAGTCGTCTCCAAGTGCGATCAAATATCATAGTTGTGATTTCTTCATTGCCGTGGGCACCAGTCCACATCAAGCATTTTGCACCAGAGTCGATATCCCAGACGCAAACTGTAGAATCGTCTGCTCCTGTCACCACCTGTCGGATGAAAATGGAACTGATTTTATGAATATTAACAAAAAGAAAAGTACAATATATAACTAAAATGTAAGTTTTCATAATGGTAAAAATTAAATCACACAGTGATCAGATATTTGTGATTAACATGTTCATCGATCAAGGCATTTCCATGCAAAATATCACCACCTGCCATTTATTACAGATGCTGAACGCTGACTGTCAAACATCAACCACCGAATGCTGACATCGTCCACAAAAAAAGTTGGAGACCATAACAATATGTCACCATTTGGGGTGTTAACATTAAAGTCAAATTGAAATAAATGTTACAAATTGAAAATTCATTAAAATTCTAAATTCTAAATCATGAATTAAAGTAAATGGACATACTTGTTTATAAAATTCATTAAAATTCTAAATTCTAAATCATGCATTGAAGTAAATGCACATACTTGTTTATAAAATTCATTAAAATTCTAAATTCTAAATCATGCATTGAAGTAAATGCACATACTTGTTTATAAAATTCTAAATTCTAAATCATGAATTGAAGTAAATGCACAAACTTGTTTATAAAATTCATTAAAATTCTAAATCATGAATCAAAGTAAATGGACATACTTGTTTATAAAATTCATTAAAATTCTAAATTCCAAATCATGAATTAAAGTAAATGGACATACTTGTTTATAAAATTCATTAAAATTCTAAATTCCAAATCATGAATTAAAGTAAATGGACATACTTGTTTATAAAATTCATTATAGATGGCACAACAGAGCTGTGTGTTATGGGTTGATGGGAGAATTTCTTTATGTGTTTTCCCAACACCACATTTCAGTAAACTAATATAGTCACTAGAACATGCCACAAGTGCATTATGAGCTCCACCCTGGAGGTGAAGTGGGTTTGACCCATGCTCTGGGATACGGCCAAATATGCTGGATGGAAACTTTATCTGGACTGTCTGTAGACATGTGTGTTCCTTTATATCCCAGACTTTTACACACTGAAATAGATAAAATAAAATCAAATAATATTGTGTTTTGAAAAGTCACTAGAGTATGCCACGGGTCTATTAGCTGAAATGGAGAAAGTCAGTGTTGTATGTACATTCAAGGCATGTGTATTAGAAAGATGGGAACACTGAAAAGTTTTATTTGCATGATGCATTTAGTATTTTAATAACACAAAATTACTAAAAGCAGAATATCGTCATTCTACCATTAGAGGCTTATTTTACTAATTACTAAATTATATGTTATTCTTTAATAAACACATCATATAAAACTTACAGATTCCTTTGAGTAGCTAAATATCTGCTCCAGACTTTCATGTATTTTGACCCCTATGACCCCTGTAGTGTGCCCTCGAAGAAGAGCTATTGGCTTGGCAGGAACAAATGGATTCCACAGGCGTACTATATAATCTGAACTTCCCGTCACTAGTAGGCTGAGAGTCCTGTTGTAGTCGAAACAATCACAACCCTACGATATAATAATGAACAATCATTTTAATGGCTTTAATAAAAGTTTAATTACATCATATGGTTTTTTGCAGGTACTTGTTTCATTTTTTAAGTGGATCTCCTTGTTTGATCGAGTTACGGTACACAAAAATGTCGAGATTCACATGTAGATTTACGTAGATCCAGGATATTCACAATTAAATGTTTTAAGAACTTTGCTCTTAACTGTGTTATATGTTATGCAAAAGGTTCAACCCCAAAGTATGAAAACAACATGGGCACTTTTCCTATATTCAACTTATTGTCACGCGTCATATGCATAACTGGAGAAACTTTTATATATTCAATACCTATGGTGACAGAACTCACCTTTCCAATCTGGAAGACGTATGATTTCTTGTTCCTGTTGATGTCCATGATGACAAGAGAGTTCTTTGAGCTGCCACTTGAGGATATGATGTTATGCGTATGTGGAAGGTATTCTATTTTACGTATAATGTCACCAGGGTGGACGTCATTGATCACACTGATTCTTGTCCATTTATTCTGTTTCATCACATCCTGTAATTCAACATTTTATATTTATTCATACTATATATGACCAACTATTTACAAACACTTCAAAAACCAAACTCTCAAAAGGTAAGTTGTTGTCTGCGCGTGTTTCATTTGTAAAACTGCTATGAAATGATATGGTCAAAAGTTCCATACACATACATACGTTTTTAATATAAAGATACTACAATAAGGACAATGAAGTCAATAACGAAGTCAATAACAATGTCAATTGTGGTATTAATGAAGTCAATGATGGCATTAACAGTGTTAAATCTGGCAATGACAAAGTCAAATAATCTTCACAAAGGGGCTAAGTTCATAAATTCTTCTCATTCTCACCCTATGCAGACAGAGCCTGTGGGAAATATTGGGTGCGGCGCAAATGAGCGGAGGGTGCGGAGCTAACGGTCATTTTTGAATTTAAAATTGGGGTATTTCTGAAACTAAGCCGTTTTGGGACTTCAAATATACCAAGATATGTGTATTTGACACCAAATATCAATAAAATCGTGAAAATAGTAGTGGAATTCATTTTATAGCGACGCAGTATGCCTTAAACATTTCCCAGACCTATATATTTTGAGACTATCCTTTTAATACTGCGTCCCCAGCATTCATAAAAAATGGTGTTCAAGATACACTACCCATGCAAATTATTTTTGCATCTTGGAAGCCAGGCAGTATCTGGCTCCATAAACGTAGCTCCGCACCCAATATTTAGAGGGGGCTCATACCTGAAAAACATTTCCGAATTTTTATAAAATCACACTGATACTGCCTGGCTTCCAAGATGCAAAAAAAATTTGTATAGATAGTGTACCTTGAACACCATTTTTTATGAATGCTGGGAACTCAGTATTAAAAGGATAATTTCAAAATATATAGGTCTGGGAAAGGTTTAAGGCACACTGCGTCGCTATAGAATGAATTGCGCTACTATTTTCACAATTGTATTGATATTTGGTGTCAAATACACATATCTTGGTATATTTGAAGTCCCAAAACGGCTTAGTTCCAGAAATATCCCAAATTTAAATTCAAAAATGACCGTTAGCTCCGCACCCTCCGCTCATTTGCTCCCCACCCAATATTTCCCACAGGCTCTGTCTGCATAGGGTGATTCTTGTTGTACTGTATTGTGTAATGTCTTCTATTTTCTTCCCTTTAGTACTTGTGCTTACATATAATTTACCTTCATGTAAATCATTGAAACGCCATGTTCCTTCTTATGTGTTCCCCCAAACAACTGCGCCATTGGGTTAGTAAAGTAAATGAGATTTATTGCACCACAGTCATTGCCAAACAGAAGAAGTGCCTCGGCCTCTGGATTCTGAAATACACATTGTTTGCGTTTAAGTTAAAGTGACGGCTAAGAATAGGGTTTTGTAAATGTTTTGAAAATGTTGGAGTGCCTTTATATTGAAATAATCCCTCTAAATAAGTCCTGAAGTCCGGATGCTTCATTATGTTGTTTGGTCATGCAACAGTGGTATTTTCTAAACTGGCCATTGCTTAGGCCTAGTAAAATAAAATTCTTTAAATAAAGGTCTGAAATTCCCTTGACCACTGACTCCCAGTTTATTCTCAACTACAGTTAGGTTGGAAATTCATGTCTTCAAAATTATTTCTTAAAATTTGCCAGACATTAACAGGGTTAACGCATGGTTTTAATGGGGGCACTTTGTGTTACCAATTTTTAGGTGATGTACCTTCATATCACAGTGGTAGTCAAGGCAATGGGGTACATCATTCAAGCCGTACAAATTAAATTCTTCAAAAATCTGGCTGGTAGATGCGTCAAAGAATCTAATGTCCCTCCCAGTGGAGGATATTGCGATTTTATGGCAGTTTGGCATATATACAGCATCCGTAATCCACATTTTGAAGCGTCGTTTTTGTCCTGATGGGTCGACGTCATCTTGTTTCATAACAGTAGCGCCATCTATATGTAGATTTTGATCAAATACTGTAATAGCGCCCTCTTTACTGATAGTCACATACTTCCAACCTTGACACTCCATTGCAACTATTTTTGTCGTGACTTCTTGCTGGAATACAAGAAATGTTTGAAATTACCTGTGGAGGTCCTGGTACCCAAGGGGGACAGGGCCCAAAATTTAAAATGTCATTTTTACATAAATTGCCCAGGTATTGTGGAAAAGAGCAGATTTCGGTCCTAAATATTTTTTGGCCTCACCTTATGACATACTAACAAATACATCTTGTGACAGTGCTGATTGCCTTGGCACTAGTTCAACATTTAAGACACTTTTCACATTTTGAAATTTCAACTATCAAGGGTTCCCTTAGCATGTATAAGTCAATAATATCTAAGTTTTTATAGTTCAAGCTGTTAGTTAAAGGTCCAAATTTTATTCAATAAAAATTAAGTTTTAAACAATAATCAAACCAACTTTAAATTTGACCCGTAATAAATGAGCTCAAATGAACTCACTCTGTTTTGCACAATGTGTCTTATGCGTGGTTCCTGAGTAAAAGGAAGCTGTCTTTTGTGCCGCATGTAGTCATTCTCTCTATATTGCAGTAACATATATGTACAAAACTCATCCCAGTCAACATATCCATCGCACGATGTATCTAACTGTAAGATAAATAGATGGCAAAACATGTATCGCCATTGTTATCATATGCGTAAATTACATAATTTATACCAGTTAGTATTATACATATACTAGTTTTAAAGATAATAAAAAATATTTTGGTTTGGACGGAAAATAACCAGTTCGTTCTATTCTATAATCTGAATTGAAGACATTATTACCAAAAAGTTGCAACTTCAAATACTTCACATAATTGGATCAATTTCTGGCATAACTACGTTTTAAAACTCCATTCTATATTAAAATAACGATAGACATATGATAGCTCATAAAAGTCATCAGCTCATTGCATTCGGGTCGATAGAGTTATCCAGAAGTGCTCAAGCAAAACATACCTTAACAAACAGTTTCTCTAATTGCTCTGTGTACTCATTGGTCCCGAGTACCTTTCCAATAATATCTTTGAACTCGTCCAGGTTCAAACTTTCCGGGTCTCGTTCTTGGTACCTGGACGGTGCATAGATGGAGTCACTGGGAATTTCGATAGGCGGCGGCTCAAAGTTTGCGTAAAATTCGGACAACATCTGAAGATGGTGGAGCTGGATTTTTTCTTCTAAACGTAAATGGGCATCAACCCTGTTGAAACTGAAAATACAGAAGTGTGTATGGTTAGAAGATTTGCACAAGATTCATTTAAACCTTTATTAGTTAGTTTGTTGGTTTGTTTGTTGTTCGTGATACGATGTAAATAACTGATACCACAATGGGGATATCACATTCATCAATATGTTAAGTAACTATGGTGATATTACAGGTGAAATTATATGAGAAAAAACAGCAATTCAAACTCATGTGACCACATCGATACGTACACTAAATTGCCTCTATATACAGTTGGACGGCACATTGCCTTAACCCATCAGCTTTATGACGTGCACTTCCGCGTGGGACTATATCTTTACAACGGGAATTTCAAGTTTTTGTCAGTGTAGACATAAAAAGTTGCGGTCCTCTTACTCGCGCAGTTTTTAATATTTTCGTTTGAAACTTGCAGAAACGGTGCTTTGAATCTAGCTCCCTACTCTTTGAAAACGTCATGTAGAATCAAAACAGTTGAACTATTTATTTTTTGTCGTGAAAATATTATTTTTTTAGTTTATTTTTATTTTACAACTTTTTGGGAAAAAATGTAACAAATTTTTATTTCTTGTCATATTTATCCGATATTTTGTCATCATGACATTCGAGATTCCTTTTAATGATGGTGCAAATTTCATAACAATTGATGAATTTTTATTATCAGTGTTATGTTTTCCAAAAACGGTGTACCACTGTGCATGTTTCTTTAATTGACGGCACATTTGCCTTTAAATGGTCGAACGTACAGATCCCGACGCAATAAGCTTTATTTGATTTAATACACTCAAAAATAAAGTTTGCTATCAAATCAGAATGTTCATAAAACATAAACCTTGCCTTTGTTTTCCCAATTCTAAAAGCAGGCCAAATAAACTATGATAATCGTTTGACTCTCGAGACTACAGAACTTGAACTTGAACATACTAAAATCGAAGTTACCTATAGTTACGCTTGTAAAGTTAATTATATGTTTAACGGCGTGCTGAGTGAATGTATCTAATCAAAGGACGATTCTCGGTTTGGAGAACGAAGTTCATCAATCTAAATGAGCATTATCCCTGCTTCGGACAAATTTGATTTTTTTACATAATATAGATTTGAATGTCCTCTTTTGAATAGTCATAATTTAATTTGGGTAATATTTCTAGATTTTTCGCAAAAAAATATTAGCGCAGTACACTGATGAACTTCTTTCCCCAAATCGAGACTTGTATTTTATTGAATCGGTCTGATTGAGCGTTATCCCTGCTTCAGACCAATTTGTTATTTTTACATCTTGTAGATTTAAATGTCCTGTTTTGAATATTCATAGTTTAATTTGGGTAATATTTCTATATTTTTCATGAAAAAAATTATTAGCCCAGGAGACTGTTCTCCAAACCGAGAATCGTCCTTTGTGACATACCCATAAGATCGTAGATGACAATTCTAAGTTTAAAATGTAATTTGGATTCGTAAGAAGTATTTCTGTTTTAAACTTACCTTTGCTGTCTGACAAAGACCAATATTCATAGACGGGGATGTTGAAACCTATATTTCCTTTGAATGACCTGCATTTGTACTACGAAATGATCTTGTGGAGAAAAGTTGATGATGAATTCCAAACAGCTAGTTCTAGAAAATCTACTAGTATAAGCTTACTTTCTAAAAGTATTTCAATGTTAAAAATATCTATTGATATGTTTCATTTTTAAAATGATCTTTTGCTTCCCTTAACTTATATGCGTGACTTAATGAAGAATGCTGTTTACCACAACAAACTTAAGATGTAAACTTGGCAATTACCCGATACATGTTATAACGCGATTTTCTTTCATTTTCCACAAAAATGGTATGTTTTCGAATGGTCACTTACGTTAATCTATGACCATGGTATGATTGAAAATGAAAGAACTGAACCAAGTATTGTCGACTCGGTTGAATCATAAGATTTATTTTGATTGATTTAATCTCTTCTTGAATTTTAAAACTTTTGTCCGAATTACATCTGCTATGGAATTAAAGTTCAAATATACCTCAGAATTGCTTATTGAATTAACCTAGCAATTAATTTGAAAATAATTCTTTACATAGGTTATATATCATAGATCATAGATATGTAAAAAATAAAAATGTGTTTTGAAAGATGAATTGGTAACAAACGTTTTCGTACACGTGCCATTATTCACCTTCAGCCCACTTAAAGCACGAAATCCCGTATGACGTAATATAACGAAAATGCGCAGATAATTGATATTTTTTTAATTTTAATTCAACTCACATTGACCTTTCTTATTTAGAACGTGTTTAAAGTTTTCATTTAAAGAAAATAAATATGTGGAAAGGCAATGGTTTAAAGCTTATGAAAATGTCAAAATCATAATTCAGTTTTTAAAATAAGATATTGACATGCATTCACGCACATATAACATTATCTCTTTTTGTGCGATTCAAACATAAAAATCTCATTACAGTTATAAATATTAACCAATCTTAGCCATGCCTTTCTAATAGAAGAAACTAAATTTGAATCAAAAAATAATTCTGTGTAAAAATGATTCCCCATAGATATAATAAATGTCAAAAATGTCAAAAAAATTATCAAAAATTAAATAATCACACGCTTTTAAGCACACGTGACCTTTTCCAGTTTTGCTCATTTCATTTACCTTGAAAACCAAGAAGACCGAACGCAATTGCTATATACAACCTTGATACGTGTACCAGGTCTATAATTGCATTTTCTCATGGAAGGAACCAAGCAAAAATTATAAAAATAATTCTGCGTAGAGGCGATGCTTCACAAATAATATTAATGTCAAAAAATTAATTCATTTCTTCAAAATTAAATACTGACTCGCATTTACGCACACATGACCTTTTCCAGTTTTGCTTATTTCATTTACCTTGAAAACCAAAGAGACTGGACGCAATTGCCAAATACTTCTTTGATACGCGTGCCAGGTCTACAATTGCATTTTCTCATGGAAGGAACCAAGCAAAAATTATAAAAATAATTCTATGTTAAGGTGATGCTTCAAAAATAATATTAATGTCAAAACTTTAATTCATTTCTTCAAATCCAAATACTGACACGCTTTTACGCACACGTGACCTTTTCTCCTTTTGCTCATTTTATTTATCCTAAAAATCAGTGAGCCTTAATACATTGTCCGATACTTCTTTAATACATGTCGGGTCTAAAATTGCAGTTTATCATGAAAGAAATCGAACAATTATTATAAAAATAATTATGTGTAAAGGTGATGTTCTTCAGATCATATAAACATCAAAATTGTAATTCATTTATTGAAAGTTTAATATCCACATGCTTTACCGCACACATAACCCTTTCCTTTTTTGTTCATTTCATCTATCTTAAAAATCAGTGAGCCTGAACTCATTGCTAAATAATTTTTGATATGAGTCAGCTGCAGGTCTAAAATTGCATTTTATCATGGAACAAAACGAGCAATCATTATGAAAATAATTCTGTGTAAAGATGATGTTCCAAAGACAATATATTTGTCAATTTGATAATTCAGTTACTCAAAATGAAATATCCACATGATTTTACGCACACATGATAATTTTCTGAATGACGCTACTTTTTGGACTCAACCATGCATATAACGTCGTAAAATACACATTTCTACCGAAATTATGCCCAACCGTTTTCGCAGAAAATGTAACAAATGAAGGCATTTTATCGGAACTGATTGATATTTGGTACTTATAAAATATCGTATTTACTTTAACTTTTAAGCGATTCAGACATTATCAAAGACAATATATATGTCAATTTGATAATTCAGTTACTCAAAATGAAATATCCACATGATTTTACGCACACATGATAATGTTCTGAATGACGCTACTTTTTGGACTCAACCATGCATATAACGTCGTAAAATACACATTTCTACCGAAATTATGCCCAACCGTTTTCGCAGAAAATGTAACAAATGAAGGCATTTTATCGGAACTGATTGATATTTGGTACTTATAAAATATCGTATTTACTTTAACTTTTAAGCGATTCAGACATTTAAAAAATGATGTTTAATCAATGTTAATTTCGCACGAATATAGGGTACAAAATGAGGGAAAGTCTCACGTGTTTGATTGCATTTTACTCCCATTCATGTGCATTTTTCTAACATTAAAATGAGATAGTTCGAAAGAAGAGATCAGTAGAATTCTATCCGTCACTTTCATTTTCAAATGTTAAAATTTTTACCATTTCAATGGACCTCATAAAGATGGTAGCCAACGGACCAGAAACAAGTAGTTCGATGACGTCATATATCGCTACACCACTTTGATATAAAGTTTGGTAAACAACAATGGGTTTTTTCAATGTGCCGTCCTACTGATAATATTTTCGATACGGTATGTCGACTTCTTTTATCTTTAATAAAACTTCCACTATCCATATCAACTAACAATAAACACCAAATCTTACCAAGTACAACTAAACCATAAAATTATTGTGTTAAAAAATCAACTCAACATTACAAATTAAGAAATAATTATATATGTCATAATTCGTATAACTAAATCAAATTACAACAATAATTATTTTGATCAATAAAGCAAGTCAACAGAGTTCAATGTAAATCTATTGATTACCGGTTTATATGTACAACAGAGAAAAACTCTTCATCTTCATCCGTGAAGAAGTTCTGCATTTTAAAAATATTACTATCCTGTTGCTTCGAAATGTAAATTTTATTTCATTTGTAAACCACTTTATGTTTTAGGCATATATGCCGCAAAGGCCCATGTACTACTGAGGCCCATATGCTGCATTTGTTACAGCAACTGTAGAATTAATAAGTAATCATAATACATCTAATGATTGTTACTAATTATGTTTTTATTTGTGTTTTTGTTATGTATTTCTGTTTGGTGTTTAAGCTCCATTTCCATCAATGCGTTCTTTCCAAAAGTGCTTTAATTTCTGCTAATTTAGAAGTATCCATCTTATTCTTAATTTTTTGGTATTGCTGTAGCTCCAACTTTCAATTAATGAAAGCTTTCTGCATTATCTGCCAAAACGCATCCCACAGAATCAAGTCTTTATTTAAGTAACCCACGAGGCCTTTATCTAACCTTATCTTAATTGAATCAAAATATAAATGTCCATCCTTGACAATGTGATTCCTTACTTGTAGAGATCGACAGTAACGATCTCTTTACTTACAGATGAGTTCTCCCGGATCATGTTCGATTTTCACATGCTTCTCTCTACAACTTGAATGGAACGTGTCATTTTTCTCAATTTCTATACAACTTAGGATATGAGACTCATGATCAATTTCACTATGCATCTTGCAAATTCATCTATATCCGTACAATTCCTTGTTTTAATAGCAATTCATTTACAGGAAGCTGCTAAAGACCACTGGCAGAATAATAAGGTAAATATTGACACTCGTGTTCAAAATGTCGTCTGCTCTCGCTTATTCCACTCATTTCTCTCTAAACTTTGAAAGAAGTTCATAATTATTTTGCATTTCCATACAATTTAGAGTATCACCCATACGTGTATCTGCTTCATTCCTCGCCAGATCCACTCCAGTTTGCTTTATTTCATGTTTTAAACTCACGTGTCATGATATTTTATTTCTCCTCGGTGCATTGTCTTTATAGATTATTGTGCTACTTCAGTAACAATGTTTTTTTTACTTTTTTTTACCGAAGAGGGTCTTCTTTGGGGAAACAGTATTTTTAATTGATCCTTAGGAAAATATCACGTTCATTTGCAAAATCTGTAACCTAAATATCTATAAGAACAAATGCCAAAGGGGGAAAACCAACTAAAACACAATAAGACATTTAAGAGCGAAACCAGTGATAAGAAAAAAAGATTTTCAAACAATGGGCAACACAAAAGGAACCATTGTCTAAAAATCCCAAAGTGATATATCTTGTACACAATAAAAATTAAATCCAAACATTAAACGGTATATACGTACATTATGTGTTTTAGTGATTGATCATATATTACATAATGTTTGAACCAAGTTGATAAATGATAAAATAATGAAACTACAGTTTATGGATGCCTATCATCAAGCACCCATTCATACTCGCTTACCCGTAAAAATCGTATGAGTAAGATTGGAAAATCATAGCAATGTAAAGTCAAGCCTTCTTTCGATAATTTATCATTTAAAACTACCTATTTTGAGATGCCCCTCAATTTTCCTTGCGGTAAGACTCAATAAACAGCAGACCCCACTCAAAGGTAACACTGTTACTTTTTGCCCCGGGGACTGAAATATTATGATGTTCAGTACTAGACACGAAAATACCTTAATATTGTTTTGCTTTGTACCCCCTCCCCCTCCCCCCTATACTTCAATTTCAACACAGTCCCGAGGCAGCTAATACATATAGCTCCTTTCACTTTTTTAATTCATTTCATTCTATTTCACATCTTAAAAGGTACATGCATTTTAAGGAACAATGAAACAATGAAACAAACCATGAACAAACGCACAATGTATGAACATTGAGAAGAGCTATCAACAAAAGAATGCATACTTCAAAAGAATATATTTTTCGATAAGGCGAATGTCTCATCCAAATGATCAATAAATGGCAAATAAAAATGTAATAATACAAATCTCTGGCACTAATTATGTTGTCTTAATGCCACGAGGATAAATATGATACCAATCTTATAAGTTCAATATCTGTAATTTTTGTATTAAATGATCAGATTATAATAAATCAACCTATATTTTTCAATCCAAATGGCATAATATTGATAAATTATTAATTCATGAAGGAGTTTTAATGCTATTTATTTTACGAGCTAATGCAATATTATAGTTTAGTTTAGTTTTAGTTTATTCATTTTTTATAGTGGTCAGTCTTACAATTCAATAAAATATATTAGCAAATGCTGATGATATTGTGATCCTAGCAAGCTCAGAGGTAAATTTACAACAGATCCTAGATATTGTATATTTACTGGTGTAAAAATTAAAATTATAACAAGAGGTATTGGTTTTATGTTATTTCAGTTTGTTCAGTTTGTGTTGATATGTTGATCGCCATGCATAGTCGACACCGACGACTAAAATCAAGTTTCTATCTTAATTCAATTCATAATATATATCTAATGTAACAGATAACGTATCATCATAATAAGTAATATTGAAATAACTTTAGCATTGTACATCAAAGTATATAACTACTTACTACCTCACTCCATAGCAACTATCAGCCATTATTCACCATATAAGGTCATAAGATCACTGGTATCAATGACATTCACGATATTCAGGCATTCTTTAATCCTCACCGATAATAAACTCCCTTGAATAGAAATCACATATCCAAATGAATTTTGTATTTGAAAATATGTTGGGTTACTTCTATAGTGATTTTTATTCATAAGAGTCCTTTCTATGTCATGCTTGAGATAGTATAGGGTGTGGAACTAGACCCTCGAAGCTTCTGTTAATTTCATCTTCATATGACCGCATCCAGGTGTATTTTGATGAATCTTCTGAAATCATCGCTTCTCTACCATGATGTTTTAAGTTCGATTTAAACTAGTTTAAGTCATCAATTTGAAAGCGATGACGGCTTGTAATATGACACATCCAAACTTCTATATTCTTTATAATATTTCCACTTAAATAGACTACGTACTGATTCTAAAAATAATACGACTGTTGTCGAAAATTTTCACTATTTTGTTAAAAAAATTTAATTATAATTATTGGAGCCTAAACGATCATGTATATAAATGCTAAAAGTGCGAACTTTCACCTAATAATAAGCATTCTTATATTAAATCATTGAAAACCAGGTTCATAGATTTATTAGTTGGTATTAGTTGACATAGGACTTGAAATATTTAGTTTATTTCAACATTTTAAATGCTTTAGGAAACTATCCAAAAGTTTTAATTGTGACTAGTGTTTACTTTGTAATGTTGAATAGGCCAACATAGTGCCTGTATATTCAAACTGACCCATTAATAACTAGTCACGGTGTATGCGTTTTAAAATGTGGAATAGAATGAAGGAAATGAAAATAGCGAGAAATAAAGTATATATGCTTGTAGAGAACAATCTAACTTATATGGAAAATTCAGAAAAACTCTACATCCCATTTAATATATTGAGCGTAATTGTCCGAAAAATGTAAAATTATTGAGAGGGTTATTGGGGAATGTTATTCTAGTGTTATCTATATATTGCATTATACCCAAGATTCCATAGAATTCACTGATATGTAAGTTCCATTCTTAAAATTCATTTATGGATATATGGCTTTCTCAATTAACTTCTGTCAAAAATAATAGCATTTCTATATTTTGTTATTTCTATACAATTTAGGGTGTTGGCTTCGTGTCTATTAAATTTAATTTTTGGTTACCAAGCTTTTTATGACCACATTTCCAATTTTAAGATCGATCCCCGTGCCATTTTTGTCATCAGTAAGTCCCATTGATCGCAGACTTTGTACAAATACATCAGTGCTATAAGTGAGAACTATGATTCTGATATTATTTGCGTTCGTATGTAGGCAACAACATTGGGATTTATACCTGTATCTAAAACGTTCTTGCTATTTCCCATAGTTCTCCACAAATTTGAATTGGGACACTTTTTGTATTTCTGCACAATTTGGTGTATCGGGGTCGACAACATGTCTATTTACTTTATTGTTCCGTTGACTCCTCTTTTGTGACTTAAATCTGCACTTAAAATTAGTACCATTGATATTTGAAGAACGGCTTAAAGGTGTCCTAATCCTCCATTAGCTCCCCATTTTAGAATTATATTCCCATTGGATCAAATTTCATCGCAATCATGCTTTAAGATGTCAGACCCGGGTGCCAAATAGCGAATTCAAACATGACCGTGCTCTATTCGAATTTCTCAACCAATCAGAATGCAGCATAGCCAATATAGAACGTTCTCTAATTCTCCATAGATGCACGACCATGCTCTATTCAATCTGCAATTTGCATTGTTTTGAGTGACGTCACATCTCAGCTGCACATCTGGGGCTCTGTCCGGGGATAGCTGTTCTTTTTTACAGAATCTTGACAGCATGCGTATTCTTCCTTCATGCCCGTTCCACAGACACGGCTTTTACTAATTTTTATGTTTGAATCGGAATAAATAATGATAGGCCATTCAATATGGTGAAATTCAGCACTCGTTGGACAGAATGTTAGTACAAATGCACTCACCTTCGGTTCGTGCTTTGTACAACATTCTGTCCAACTCGTGCTGAATTTCACCATATTGAATGGCCTATCATTATTTATTCCTTAAATCAACAACTCAAAGGGCAACACTTAATGTTTGAATCTTAATTTTGTTCATTGATTACAACAGTACGGAAATTCATGCCCTTGATAAATATTTTTAAATTGCCAAACATAAACTGGCTTTAATAACAATACAATGGAGACTTCCGGTTACCAAATTTATGGAAAGGAGTGTATTTGACCTATTCAGAGGGTGGTAATTATCACTAGCCTGTAGGCCTAAGGGTAATTACTTACAGGAGATCATCAACGATGTACATCAACCGAAGATGTTTATATCACGAAGATGCCCGAAGATGCCTTAAAGAACCAATCAAATTCATTGAAGGGTGAGGGCCCGGATGAGGACTACATCTTCGGCCATCTTCGGTTTTTGTCGAAGAGTCATTACCCTATTTCTTACCTTTCATCTTCCTCCTCTTCATCCTCATCCCTCAGTTTAAAAGATGTCACTTTTGCTATTCCTGGTTTATTTTTATGTGGCTTCTGCCTAGGCTCAATTGAATCAGAGAAAACTGACCCAGATTCCGAACCCTCTCTGCTATTAGAGTTAATACTGTGATTATCCAAAAGTATGGAGTACTCTTTTTTGAATATGGGCTTGGGTAGCTCCATCATATTATGCCATGGGTACACAGTCCCCAGTGTTGTTTTAGATTTATTCATTGTCAGTGGAGATTTTGATTTTGGATTCTTTGAGGTGTGTGTGGTTTTTCCGATCATTGTAGTTGATCTTGCTCCCAGAGAATTCAGATTCCCCTTTTTGTTTGGATTCTTCATCTTGTGAGACTGGGCACTCCGTATGGCACTATTTTTATGATGGTGGTCATTTGAAACGGTGCCATTTCTAGGTGAGGTACCATTTGACGTTTGTTTTACTCGTTCTTTTTGTTGCTCTTTCTTATTGTGGTGAATATCTTTTGTTTTGATTGTAGTGCTGTGCCTACTGTTGTCATTATGATGTCTGATTTCGACATCCTTAGTTGTTAAAAAAGCTTCTTTGTCACTAAGAACATCGGCCATCTTATATGGTTGGCCTCTTATAGGTTATGAATTGACAGATTTTGAAATATTTTGTCATACTTCATAAGAGCCTTCTGTAAAGCATCCCTGGGGTCACTAAATGCAGTTTTAGAAATATGTTACAATATTCTATAAATAAAACATCCGTGTAGATTTTGAATCAGTGCAACCAATTAGGGTCAACTATAATATTGACATCCACTGTTTCACCTTCCGCTCTGCTTATAACTTGTAAATACTCCATAACATTTGAATAAACTATTTCTATTTCTGTAATTTCTATACAGTATCAAATATCATCTTCATGTTCATATACCGTAATCCTTGGTTATTTCAGGCTTTTCTGTTGCATTTTGCAATTTAAACATGACGATCAGACGAACATTACTTTTATTCATGGGAATGCAGTATGTACCGTGGTCCATTGCTACGTAACAAGGTAAGGTAGTTTCCTTTCGTTCAATGTCAAAATTAATGACCCCAAATATAACCTGAATACAGTCATTAATTATATGAGCTATAAGTCAGCTCCTCTATTACAAATCTATATCCAATGCCTGATAGTAATATACATAGATCCATTCCAATTAAGCTTCAAATTTTTGTTGTAGTAACTCGCACATCCAGGTTGTTGAAATATGTCACGTATGAAAACGTGTCATTCAATTATATTCGTAAAAAACACTACGCGCTTTGGTTTGTTTATCCACTCTGTGAACAATACAACCTATTGAAAATTGCTCAGATAAGTTACACGTTCAATTCTATTTTTGATAAGTATATTTATCAGTAGTCAGTTGTCACTATAGGCGTATAGAATATTTGCAATCATATCCAATTGCTTAAATACACATGCGAAATCCTAAATATTTCTAACCGAGCTCTCAAGACGTCGCTCAAGTTTTGATAATAAAGGAATTAAAGTTATCCAAAACACAAACAATATCACAAAATCCGTTTATTTGAATTCAAGCTTTTTCTGTCTGATAACACGCCCATATATGAACGCCACAGAGGTAATATTTGCATCTGTAAAATACTACAAAACGGAACGGAATAATCAAGAAATAATTTAATATCTCAATAAAATTTACTTTCAATTGTATAGAGATACAATTAAATAAATTAACGTCATTCAATTTAAGGATACAAATTGAAGACATAGTGATAAAATAATGAAATTTCCCAGACGGCAGATTTCCGTGTGAGAAAGGACTTAGATATGGGGATTATGATGTTTTGAAATTCATTGTGTCAATTATTACCTGAGAATTTTATTGAATTATCGATGATGGATACAAAATTCGTCTTAACCTTATGGTACTTATTTATTGTAACAATTGGAACATAAACACTTTGTTCATGAAATCCATAGGTTACCGAGCTCTACCTGGGATTAAAAATTAATTATAAGTTACAAAATGGCAAGGTTCCAGTCATCAGAATACACTGATTGGCAACACTTGCTCGGATACCACATGACCTTTTTTACATATATACACTCCCCTCCATAAGTTTGGCAACCTTTTTCCCCCATTGAACTACGTGTTAACGCCTCTTTACGTTGGAATTTTTATTTACTTGACCGGCGATGAAATAACTTATAATATTAATGGAAACGTAACTTGACTTTAATTCCAATACCTCCAAATTTTCTCAATTTTTTTCCTCAATTACAATAGGTCGAAAATTGATGATAAATTTGATGAATTTTTGAAAATCGTTATTCCCATGTAATCCAACGGGAAATTGAGGGTTCGGGGCAAATCAGAAATCAGGATATCTTTTCAGTAAAAGATTCAGCAAAAAATATTTTTATATAAAAAATTGAATTGTCTAACTTTTTTGAACACTAAGTGTTTAGTTTATTTGATGAATATTAAAGTTACAGCGCTTCAAAGTCATTTTTGAAAATAATTTTTCGCCTCCTGTGTTATTTCAATGGGAGAGGTTTTTTGAAAAAGAATTTTGACTTTAAAGCCCTATAACTTTGTTGAACCTGGAGAAACATATCAATTTTTTATTAAATAAAGTTAGCAAATTCAATTGCCTACCTAACTCGTATTTTTTGCAAGGACTCGGATGGATGGATATTCTGTCATATGACTTGCGACAAACCTACCATTTCCCATTGGTTAACATGGGAATGTCGATTTTCAAAAATTAATCAAATTTATCACCAATTTTCGACCTATTGTAATTGAGGAAAAAAAATTAAAAAATTTGGAGGTATTGGAATTAAAGTCAAATTACGTTTCCATCAATAGTATAAGTATTTTCATCGCAGGTTAAGTAAATAAAAATTAAAAGGTAAAGAGGCTTTAACACGTAGTTCAATGGGGGAAAAAGGGTTGCCAAACTTATGGAGGGGAGTCCAATTTACCATCGATTTTCTTCGATTTCACTGCACTCAAATTTTAATGGAACTTTTCAAATATAGCTTCAAGGTATTATCAGGAAAATGAACGTTTTTGTTTGTAATTAACAAAATTTCTCCATTCAAGAATTAATCCGGCAGAATCCACTGAGATTCTATGAAGTAGTCTGATTAAAAAGCATCATTCCCGGGATAACGTCAGCCTTTAAAAGTGGACAGTTTAAAACAACCATCTTTCATCCAACCAAAGTTAAAAATGATCGATTCGTCATCACTCTTTGGTTTGGTTTCGTTTCATTTCAACATACAAACGAACTGACAAACGAACTGACTTTTCTAAAGTTCTAAGATGTCTCAGAATTTTTTTCAACAAAATCAGGTTGCAGGTATGTAAAGCTTCCCATAATCATTAACTTGTAAATAAGACGAAGATTATCTCAATAGCGTTCGTGGGGGAGTTATAGTTTTAAGTTAGGTAACATACTCAATACTAGTTTCATTCTGTCTCTGGGTGGTAGCCAGGCATAAGGCAAAATACGTTATCCACAGTTCTTTCGCGAACAAAATTGAAGAAATGAATTCCAGTAGCACAGTTATTTTGTGGGAGCTGGCATCCAACATGGTAGACTAACGGATGATGAATTGTCGACCCTAGCGCATTATATTTCTTATAAATGTTGCTTTCCTTAATTAGGGCCAGCAATCCTTTTCACACAAGTATGATGTCACGTTATAAAGTTCAAATGAAAGTGATTACTAGTATTCAAATAGTGAAGTTGATGTATTCTAATGATTAGATTTGTGATATTTATTTTTACATCATCTCTGTTTTTCAGACATCGAGGACCCAGAGTTAGACGGCCTAGACATTGATTACGTCAGATATGGTATAAAAGAGAAGGCCTATCAGTTGTTACGTAAATGGAGAGACCGCGACAGTTACCAGGCCACTGTACAGCGCCTTAAAGATGCTTGCATTGCTATAGGACGTTTGGACATTATGGAAAGTGCTCATTTAAACTAAAATTGCATCTAATTTTGATCAAAGGGGTTCTGTCAAGGCGCCTCAAAATTTCCTTCTGTACATTATGCTTGGAGGTTACTGGAGAATTTTTTTTATCTATAACCACAGTGATAATAAAAAAAGAAAAGCCAAAGAACTGATGTTTCCATCTGAAACATGTAATTTGAACTGAGAACCTCTATAGCTGAACACTTGGCAGATGTATTTATTTTTATACACATTGCTCAATAATAATACTACTATTTTTTGATAGATGTCACTCTTGTACCTATGATGATTGTTCAGGCCTTCTTATTGCTTTATATTATTCTACTGTGTCACTGGTGATCCACTCGATTACGCTGGTTACCAAAACGGTTCGTTTTGGTAACAAAATGTCGGAACATCCGGAAGGTACGATTTTTCTCGTTTCCTTATTTTTCACGTTGTAGGCACGTTGTAGACATTTTTAACACAAACGTGTATCAGTATCATATGTTTAAGAAAGTGTACATATTTGCGAACAAATAGTTCAGAAGACAACAGAATCGTCGATTTTCTTCCTCACTTAAGTTACATAAACGGTTTGGGTTAAAAGTGCTGATCTTAACTGTTTTTAGAAAAACCGTTTATGTAACTTAAGTGAGGAAGTAAATCGACGATTCTGTTGTCCTCTGAGCTATTTTTTCGCAAACATGTACATTTTCTAAAACATATACATAATACTGATGTACGTTGTGAGAAAAAACGTCGTGGGGATTCTGCCTACAACGCGTGAAATAAGGAAAAAAGAAAAATCGTGCCTTCGACGTTCCGACATTTTGTTACCAAAACGGTTCGTTTTGGTAACCAGCGTAATCGAGTGGATCACCAGTGTGTATACGATATATCTTTGCCTGCCTGAAATTATCCATTACATCAGTATGACCCAAAATGGAAGTACAGCATTTGGACGACTAAATGGCAATCAAATAACAACCGAAGAGCATTGGTGATTTGATTAACTATTCATTATCTTCAAAAACTCATTGATCATCACTTTCAGTTTTCTGTCCAAAGAAACACTGTAACACAGAAAAGCAAAAGTATACACCCTTTAAATATTTTATGAATGGGATAACAAAACGTCTTGTCAATACCTACTATTGAAAACACATCTATTGTTAAACAAAAAATATTTTCTTTTGTAATCACATACTTTTGAGTAAATAAACTGAAATCACGCTACGTTTTGTCAATAATCGAGAAAAATATTTTTCATACTCATTGATCCAATATTCCTAACAATGCAAAACGTGTGATTCCTGGTTTTGAAAGAATACACTGTTTGATGCATGAGGCTTAATTTTAGTTATGAATCGTCATCTAGAATTATCTTGTCTTGGTTGTAACAAGATAAACCTCAACCGAAAGGATCTGCGAAAGTGGTTGTTAATGCATTTACTTTAAATATGGTTTTATAGATGGCGTACTTGAGTTGTGATTTGAATTGACAGTTTACAAATGCAACTAACAAATATTGAAACTTTCCACGTCATACTCTGAATCAACATCATCAACCATATAACACTCTGACTCTCACTGATGATTCTAGAAGTTTATGTTATGGAGATCCTCACAACAATAAACTGACCTTTGTGGCCTTAAGAGGAAATTTGAATGCCGTGTAAATGAAAGTCGGTCACTTCCAGTCAAATGTCATTTTTGAAAAAGCTCATAAATAATTATTTGAAGTTGACCTACCTTTCAACCTTGGTTTCAACTTCTTCGGGAGCATCTCCCCAGATCAGATCCATGGTTTTCTTTTAAATTGTTATTATTTTGTAATTGTCTTCTTGGGATTTTACTTATCCATGTAGGCTTGCTCTATGGTAACCAGTGCCTACATATTAGTAACAGTTGCTGGTAACACTGGTTTTATATTTTCTGTGATCTTGTTTCTGTGTGTTTCTGTCTATTTGATTCTGTTCCTTAAGTTCTTTAAATGCAGTAGAAATAGTAATCCCGGTAATTAAAAAATTATTAGATGCTTCTGTTTTGTTTTTAACTGTAACTATACAGAAACAATCTTTTTTATAAATCCACTGGTATTTTTAATCTAGTAATATGTGAGTGAAGCAAGTGATCATTAAATTGTTTAATTCTTTTTTTCCGATGATTACGATGAATGTTTGGACCGAAATCGTCTTCCTTTTCAATCTTTGCACAATCTGGGTTAAGTAAGCTTAACGATTATGAATAACCTTAGACTGTGAATAGTTTACGTAGGTCAACGTGACAATCTGTTATGTATTGGTATTCAGCAATGCAACAATTACTTGTAGAACGTATTCAATAATTACGGATTCACTATATGCATCGTCTATTGTTATCTACTGGCGATGAAACATCTAAACCTGGACTTATGGGAATTCTGTTACCATAGCAACATAGGTGGGTATTATTGTCTGTAAATCGGCAGATTAACGCTTTTGTGCTAGGATACTATCATCAATTTAGCAATTAAACCGCTATAGTCAGGAAACGGTTTTATCTCGATAATAGTTGATTTTTCTCTGTGTTCGTATATCAGAGATAAGGCGCAAAATCAGCAGGTCGTCAAGTTGTACCTTCTATATATTTCCATTTTACTAAAAGTGATCAATAAAAGAAATAATCCAAGTTAAAGAAACGTTTGTCCTTCATACGATACCACCTGAGATAATGTGTTTGTATAGAAGCTGCAATTTGAGAAACTGTTTCCAATAATCCGACCTCTTCTTTCTCCAGAAATACGATACAGATTGAGATGTCAATATGCTGTATCAATGGTCACATATATGTTTAAACAAAAGCTTAGAAATGCTTCTCTGTGTTTACAAATGCCATGTATATTAAAATGATAATTGTGTTTGTTCTTGCAATATTTGCAGATGCATTTATTCCGGATTATATCTCCTAAGTGAATTATATACCCCTAAGCTTTTCCAATATATCAGTGTTTAACATTGTTCCCAGACGTTTACAAACTGTATCAAAGGTTCTAATGTAATGAGTAAATAAACAGAACTCTCCTTATCGCCTTTGTTCAATAGTTCTTTCTCATTATCACCATTTCAAAAGCTATGTTTAAGTGATTTTCTTAAATATACCACTTATTCCAATTATATTCCAATGTAAAAAACTAAGTATGATACGTATAGAAATCCATTGAATAATTTCGAGTTGATACTTCGAATCCTGTTACAGATTATACATTAAAATCTTTATTGGTAAGTTTTCTTAGGTGTGCTTTTTGTAATGTATTTTTTCCAGTAAGCCCCTCTCAGTGCTCGGAATGCCTTGTGTGAAGCAAATTGTATTTATAAATTAAAAATGACTTATATCTTAGAATACCACTTCTTCATAATATGTATCGAGTTATGCATACAATTTCAGATCCAAAAGTGCAAGATATACATAGGTGTCACTGTAACATGTTATACTCAAAGTTTCCTTATTCAAAAGGCTCTTTTAGTAATGATTGTTTTGCACGATTTCACCGTAAAATGTGAACGAGAAACTTGATTTTGTGGCTCTTTTGTACAATTTGGAGTACAAACTATATCTCTGATGACTTTATTTTTCGTGCATTTCACTCCTTTTTGCTCAATTTCATATTTTAAAATATGATCATGTGATATTTGTCCCGCCAGTTAAGTTTATCTTCATTCGAATGACACTTAAAGTCACTTTCATCTACTTGACTTATCTTCTTGGTCAACACTTATTAAAATTCATCAAGATTTATTACATGAATCATTTGTCCTGTGTTATCTTATTTGGTGTATTAGGTAATATGGTATCATACGTTTCAAATTATGACGATATGTATCCATTTATTTTCTTGTACACATAATGATTTTTAATTTCAATAATTTTTCTTCGGATATTCCGTTGTTCATTAACCTTTTACGTTTTCCTTACATGGCTATACCGAGGACCTATTGCCACTGTAACATAAACTCTATAACATTTCTTTTTCAAACATTAATCCTTTTCCCCTAATATGATGATTTCAAATGTTTCACTAGTCGTTTTATGACAAAAATCATAATAAATATCCAAGACTTTAATGAATATCCAATCTTGTTTTAACTTGGTAGACATGATATAATTTGTATCCCATATTTTGCGTTCAGCACGATTAATGATATGACGATATTGTAACCTTGTTGGCAAGTGCAGAAGCGATTGATTGTTTGACTTCGTCTTGTATAGTTCAATGCCATTTAAAATTGTAAATATAAAGTTTGTTAAATTGTGTAGAAAAGTATTGAATGTATAGAACGCATATTTACTCAGAAAAACGTTTATATTTTCAGCTTGAAAACCAATATATGTTTATTGTGACATTCTGGTAATCGAATACATAATAACCGTTTCTATGTTTGATATCAAAGTACAGTATGTATAGATGCAGTTCGAATGCAGACAATACACATAAAAACAACTTTGAATTCCAAAACATTTTTTATTTAAGGAATAAGTCGAGGTTGGTTTCCTACTTTAAGAAAAATACGATTTCAACCATGATCTTCCTTAAACATTTCATTAGAGGGGGCAATCAAGTACACTGTGATTATTCGCAATATGTACCTTAACTATACTGTTTGTATAGCATTTTAATTCAAAATGAATATAATAATTTCTCATTGACCTATGTCCAAATTTATATGTGTCAAAGAGTGAAAATTCAATTGGCAAATAATGGTAACACAATAAAGGTAATCTGTAAGTTTTACAAATCACACGTGCCACTTTATAAATTATCATGAATTATACGTACACATGACGAAGAAATGTAAATAAACACTTGAAAATCAAATGAATGGCAAAAAAGAAAATTAAAATTGATAATTCAAGAAAGCAAATATATATTGTTAAAAAGTTCACCATAAATAAAGGTCATCGATGGAATGGCATCGACAATTATGGCGAGACTGCTTAGATTAATAAGAGGTTGGATAATTATTACTATACTTCGAATGTTATCAAATCACAAATGGTTGAACAAATACAGGTTGACACAAAAAATGCCCAATGCTTTGGTTCAAATTGACAAAACAACATAGAATACATCTGTATGGACTGACACGATGTCAATAGAATAATTAAAATATAATTAATTAGTAATTTCACTATACAAGATCCTATAAATCGTACTTTAGATATAATATCATATCAGCAAACGATGGATACAATTATTTGTATGACGATTACTTGACCTTGCATCTGAGAACATTTCAAAGATAAGTATGTATATCACCGTGTACTGCTTTGAACATACTATAAACAAAGACAATCGAAGTGATTCCATCAGTTATTGTAAATTCAAAAACTTATGGGTTGTTGCATTTCTGGGTTAAAATGTAAAATGCGAGTTTGCATGAGTCTTCACTAACATTAGTTCAAATAGAGATATGATACATTAATAGATGTCGCCCAAAGCTACAATATGCTTTCCAATAACTGTCACTTGCATCATTCTTTCGTTGCTGATTCTTGAAAGAAATTGAGATAGAAACAGAGGATACTGTTTATTACAAATAGAGGTGTTTGCATATAATACGTAAACTACACTTTTCAAAACTGCAAAGCAAGCTGTAGGGATGGAAATAATTAATACTAGGACTACTAACTTATACAGTAAACTTTGAATTCTGTGTTATTTCTTTTTGCAAATTCAATCTTTATATGAGACCAAACTCAGTCAGCTTTTTTATAGGCACTGTGGTTTAACAGAGTAAACTGGTGGCATAGATTTGCTAATTAGATAACCCCACACATTTTCTCTAATCTCTATATAATATTATATTTTTAAAAATTAAAAAAAAATAATTTAAAACGTTTTACTCACCTCTCTACATTGGGTAGAATCTCTGCATTCTCCCTCCCCACAGGGCGAGCCCCACCCCCGTCTCTAGCCTGTGTCTGAAACATATTCCATTGAAAAACTATTTTAGAAATTTGTTCTACCACCTTAATATTTTAAACATCATGGGTTCGGGGTTGGATTCCATCTAGCGCTCATCATTTAAATCTAAATGCTTCATTATACTCTTGTAAGTCCTTTCATCGGAACGGAAAGTTTATGATCCTTCAATTAATTGACTCGGTAGACATATAAATTGAATATCCAGGAATGGTTCTATTTAGTTTCTCTTTTGACCAACGTCCATCGAGTATTTTGAATAGTAAATATCATGTTCAGCAAATATTAGACACCAATTCAGTACAACATTTGGTGAACCATTTTGAAATGTTCTACCCGTGTCGACAATTGAGAGCAATTGGAACAAACAACATATCAGTTTATACAAATATCTAGTCCTAAAAGTGCCAAAAGGTTAAATCCTTAAAATGTATTAAAACACGGATAGAACAGAAACGGTTAAGAGTAAAGGCGGGTATGAAGAGACTCTGACCTAACATTCAATGGTACGGCGTTGTAGCACCCCTTCCCTACGATTCATAAACCATTATCATTGTATCATTCATAAACCAGCATTACATTATTCAGAAACCATCATTACAGACCAAGATATCAATTCCGTGTAACATTCCTTTAATACAGATATCATTTGAAAACACGCGAAAACTTGTCGAGGATCACTTGTAAAGAAAAAAGACAAGTACTCACAAAAAATAGTACCGTGAGTACTGGGCTCACATGGTGTTGCTCAAAAGTGAATGATGGCTAAAATGGCAGAAAAAATGTGTATATAATTGTTGCCAATTTTGTGTAAAAGATTTATTTAATGCAACTACTCTTTACAGTGACATGGCTTTTTACAGTGCAGGAAACCTGAAATTATTTGTAAAGCTAGGAAATGGGCCACAAGTGAATTTCGCAAGACAAAAATGGCGACCATTTTGAAAATAGGCGAGCTTTTGAACCAGGAGTCATAGAGGAGTTTTCTACATTGATGTTGAACATGAATAACTCAAAATGGGAATCCTATCGACAGAGGTTTTAAGGCAAATGGTCCAAAAGTGGATTTCGCGAGATAGATGGACAAATCAATGTTAACTAAAATGGCTGAAAATAAAAAAAAACGGATACATTTTTTCCCGATTTTTGTAACAAAATTATTTCATACAACTATTCTTCACGGTGACATGGCTTTTTACAATGCAGGGCACCTGGAATTATTTGTAAAGCTAGGAAATGGGCCAAAAGTGAATTTCGCGAGACAAAAATGGCGACCATTTTGAACCAGGAGTCATGAGGGAGTTTTCTGTATTGATGTTAAACATAAATAACTCAAAACGGGAATCCTATTGGCAGAGGTTTTAAAACTGGTCAATTGTTGACAGACGGTCAGACAGACAGACGGACAGACAGACGGACAAGTGGGTGATTGCAATAGCTCACCATGTGAGCTAAACATGTGTGTTCTACACAGTTTTTATGTTTGGCTCGTGAATGGGAAATAGTAACCTTTCACAAAATATGCATTCTACATAGTTTTTCATCTTTTCACAAAACTGTCTGCTACAACTAGTTTTGTATATTTGGCTCGTGAATGCTAAAGCATCCACTCACAAAAAGTGTGTTCTACTACGTAGTTTTGTATTTTTGGTTCGCAAATGCTATTTTAGCATCGTTTCGCAAGAAGGTGTGTTCTACCACATAGCTAAGTGTTGCTATCATTTCATAAAAGGGTGTGTTTACTACATACGGTAGATACATGTTTGATGTGTAAGTTCTTGCTATTATATGAAATATGAAATATTAAATAAAATGTATATATTAAGTTGCCATTTTCGACATCCTACGGGGTATATCCTTAATTCCAATTTTCAATAGAAATCTTATAATGTTTCCGTTGTTCATTTAGACTTGAGCCGTTACCAGAACAAATTATACAGTCTGCAAAAGTTGGCACACGGCATTTAAAATATTTACATACAGTAATATATAACACAATTATGATGTATTCAGTCCAAGAGGTCAGCTATTGAAAATATTACCAACGGCCTTGGAATAATAAATATACTAAATATACTAACCGCATCTACAAAGGTGAACAGGGAATCGAATTTCATATATTTTTTCCAACCTTGTGGTCGAGTTACAGGGAATGTCGATATTTTGCTCTTGGTAACTTTGGCCATCTTAAGACTTTTGATAAATGTTTATTTCTTTTGTTGAAAAATGGAGTCATTAAGAATTTTAAGAGTTTCTGTCAACGCTCATAATCAACGACCCAATCGTAAATAACAGATATTTCCTTAATCCGGCCTGGAAATGTCAATTTGGGTGTTATGCGTCATTTTGTATCATTCTAATCCGAGACATTCCTTTACATGTCTTTTTTAATCCATGTCTATGTATCGATCCAGATTTACTTATCTTCCTCAGATAATAACTATTTTTCACTTCTCATAATTCTATGCCCTACATTCAACTAATATGTACATTTTGAATTCCATTGTATTGCTACTTATCCCTCAGCTATATATTATATCTATGTATTTGTTTATGTCATTAGACACTCAAGCACATAATACACATGCGCACATAGTTCTAGATAATACTCAGATAAAATGTATCGATCTATGTATATTTAGAGATAAATGTATATCGATTTTAATCCATGATTATGTATTAAGTTGTTTTGAAATATACATTGACATTGAATTCTTTGTTTCGATTGTGCTCGCTTGTCGCTTAGTCTTTAACGCCTGTAATAAAGTTTTATTTCACCGACGGGTCCAGTGATCAGCATTAATTGTGTTCACGTTCTTATTTTTAAACTAATTCTGAAAATTAACTATCTAAACTATTTCAGATATTTTAGTTGCAATTATTGTTCTACTGTTTTATCTATTATTTTCAAATAATCATTCCTGTAAATTGCGAGTATCCTTAAAATGGCATCACAGTTGACTATCTCTTCGTAATTTATTATTTTCAACAAATTCTTCGTTTGACTATATCCTTAAAATTTCTTTAAAATCCATTAATTTATTTTCAAGTAATCCATTGCCTAGTTATACTTAACGACATTGCTTTTGAGTGTTTCTGCAAACCCATCCGTGCACTGAAAAACATCTTAAAGTAAATCTAGATTGTCAACCACTGACCATGGGTCAACGTGCCTTGCTTTCATCACAAAGCGATTTAGTTTGTATTTCCTGAATAAATTCCGCCCGAGGGAAATTTATTTATTTTGATTATCGAAAGCATTCGCTGCTTTCAATTTTCCAAACTGTCCCTTTCTCAGTACAATGAAACGCAAATATTTTGCCAAACATACTAATTTTCTATTCCTTTGGTCCATGAGTCCATATTTGAAGTTTCATGACCTCTTAAAGTGGTAATTAATTAGCCATTTTGAAAAAAATCTTGTAACCTTCTTAAACCTTTTTATACATAAATTACTGACATACACTCGACTGGTGTATAAGGATTTGCATGTTTATTTGTATCTGCAACGTTGTTATATAAAATAGGAGCTCGAAAGAAATATTTGTTTAAATCATTTATGCTACCTCTTTAAAGTTTACGAAACTAATTTATTCCATTGAGAATCCTTAGAAATAAATCGTTGCTGTTTTAGCTTGTATTATTGTTTGCATTCGTGTGCTAATTTCTTTTATTGGGACACAAACGTTGTCCAACGAAATGTAAAACAACTTTTATTTCCACTTTGTTGTTAAAACAGCAGCAGCTGTGTTGCATTTTAACTTTTGTAATATTTGTATACTTCAAATCTTCAAATAGTTATTTACCCGAGGATTTAGTTCATTCGTAGTATGTAGAACGATAAAATAATATAGTTTAGTTTAGTTTAGTTTATTCATTTTTAGTGGTCAGTCTTACAATTCAATTATAAAATATCAAATATAAATATATAAAACACGATTAAGTTAAGTAAAGCTGTCTTTCGCATGTTTAGGATGGGTTCTTCTAAATTATAGATTATAATCTGTTTATTCAATCTAGATGTGTAGATCGAAACTACTAAAAATGAAAAACTAAACCATTATAGTTATAGTTGATCTTAAGTTATGATATTTTAATTTAAGTTATTTGTTATCATTATTCTTAATCTATAAATTAAGTCGTGGTTCTCCTTAAGCCTTTTGGTCTAACATCTAAAATAAGTAGTTAATATATTATTAGTCATCTGGTCCTAACAAAAATGTTGCATATAAATAAAATGTGTATAGATGATACGTTTAAAGTGACACCATTATGTTTTTTTGAATTATGTGGTTTTACAATTTGTGATATTAACTCTTCGGAAAATTAGATGTCACTCCATATTTTCCCACGAGAACTATTCAACTGAATTACTCAAACAACAATGACACATTTATTGCATTATTATGTACTTTTAGTATTCTCAAATATCTGTTAATATCCGTAAATCATTTGATTGATTTTTATTGAAATACATACACTTGGATGAATCTTAGGGATTACATGTATGTTTGTATGTTTTTGTCTAATAGATTAATCGTCAATGGATCCTTCATATCTACATGATGGGCAATAAAATGGGACACCTTTATATCTACAGGGTGGGCAATAAAAATGGTACACTTTGAATCATTCTTAGAAGTATTTATTATCACACAGATAAACCATGTGTTATATACCAAAATATGGGGAATTCATTTAGCTTTGATTAGATGTATTCGAACATGCCTGTATTCACGCCTTCTACAAACTGTGAACAAAGTCAAAATTTCACCCGGGGTATATTCGTTAACACTACCCCTGGCAATACGAGTAATATGTGACGTCATAACGACGGGCCGCCGTAATGGTGGACCAATAAATGAATATTTGAAAAAATTTGGTGAGTTTTCATTTTCGAAGCGTAATATACCTATACAGTATATGTAGACCTCAGAGCAGATGTAATATCGACGAATACACCCTTTAGGGCTAGGCACAGAAGCTTTCGAAGGCAAACCGTTTGTGCCTAGCCCCGCAGGGTGTATTCGTCGATATAACATCATGCTCTTCGGTCTATATTTCTTAAATACTATGTGACTTATCTTCAATCTTGTAGAAATTGTGACAGCTTTTGAATGTGATGTTACAATTCACAGAAAAACAGTTTTTACAATCTAAACATGAAGAAATTCATGAAAAGGATGCCGAATATGTCTGCCTCTATCTGTGATAATAGATCTCGATCTCAGAAAAGTCATCACTGAACATAATGTATTCCTTCCTGAAACCTTTGCTACCATTCATGAATCATTCTAACTTGTTCCGATAGTCAATGCGTAATTAACCTATTATCATAACGCAGTTTCCCCTTTGCATAGAAACCGTGAATTAATTTCTTACATAAAGGAAATTGTCCAGGCTAGAAATAACAATGATATTTTTGAAAGATTTGAGTGAGATGATTGAAAAATAAGGAGGAATAAAGAGTTGCACCTAAAAATATAAAAATTCTGAAAAATTCTGCAATTTCAAAAAAGCTGTTTTCCGAGGAAAAATTGCATTGTTTGATTCGAAATTTCATATACATTAACTAAATTTTCAAACTGTATACTCCGTAATTTCCTTGACGTAGCGGTAGGTTCATATCTGCTATTTTAAATAGAAGATATGTAAGTGTCCCATTTTTATTTGGCTACCCTGTTTTTAACAAAACTTAGTTTATAAGGGGAGGGTTGTTTTTTCATTTGAGATGTGGACTTAATTTATGACTATTTGACATATTAAACGCTCCTTTTCTCCTTGTGTTTTGGTCTTCCCGCGGCCGCCGGGCACTTGTACTTACATATTTAGTTTCTTTATGGCTTTGATTTTGTTCTCGGATTAATCATTATTGTTTTCTGATTGTGTGCTATGTGCTTTCATGTTTTCAATGTTCCGATATATTTTGAGGGTATAAGTTTCTAAAATTGCCATTTATCATTCCTTATCAGTATTTCACACAACACGCCTGCACAACCCACAACTCTATAACAAAATAGATGGGGAAAGTCTCAAAATATCAATAGCTGGCGGAACCAAATCAATTTCTTCAGAGGAGGGGATAAATAACGATTTCGCTAGTATATACGTGCAAGAATATGAGTAAACCAACGTTTTATACTTTCATTATAATGGAAAAGAGGCAGGGTTAACCATAGTTAATGAACAACATTTAGCTGTTAGTATTTTGGACAACACCCCTTACTTAGCATTTATATAAATGAAACAAGACACACAGTGATAAATATCGCACTTTGAAGAGCAAACTGGCCACCATGCAATTTATCCAGCATGGCCAAAACCTAATCAGACCTTGGCACTAGTCTGCTCTTGCATCTGTAAACATTTCAAGTTGACAAGGTTAGCGGTTTTCCTGCAATTTTGATGACAAGAATTTATTTGTAGTGTGGAACTTTGGGAAAATTTAGATAACATCGTTTGTGACCTAATTTGATGACCTTCGACCTTGAAAATTTAACTTTTTCAGACCTCAGTAGGTGTTTTGTAATTAAGCTGACCTAAATTTAAATCCAAAATATCAATTTAGAAAATCAACTTTTTTGACCTTTTCAAGGTCACTGAAGGTGAATGAAAGGTCAAATCTGAAATCTAAGGTCAGATTTGAACTTCTGAGAACTTGTAGATGTTTTAAAAAAAAATTTGGTAAATTTGGAGCAAGTTGAAAAATTCAAAATGGCCGCCAAATTGAAAAATTCAAAATGGCCACCATGTAATTCAGCCAGCATACCCAAAACCTAATCAGATCTTGGCAATAGTCTGCTCTTGCATCTGTAAAAATTTCAAGTTGAACGGATAAGTGGTTTTCCTGGAAATTTGATGACAAGATTTGTTGAAAAATTCAAAATGGCCACCACGTAGTTTACCCAGCATGCCCTAAACCTAATCAGATCTTGGCACTAGTCTGCTATTGCATGTGTAAAAATTTCAAGTTGAACAGGTTAGCGGTTTTCTTGGAATTTTGATGACAAGAATTGATTTGTAGTCTCAAACTTTGAGAAACTTGGATAACATCATTTGTGACCTAGTTTAATGACCTTGACCTTCGACCTTGAAAATTTAACTTTTTCAGACCTCAGTAGGTGTTTTGTAATTAAGCTGACCTAAATTTAAATCCAAAATATCAATTTAGAAAATCAACTTTTTTGACCTTTTCAAGGTCACTGAAGGTGAATGAAAGGTCAAATCTGAAATCTAAGGTCAGATTTGAACTTCTGAGAACTTGTAGATGTTTTTAAAAAAAAATTTGGTCAATTTGGAGCAAGTTGAAAAATTCAAAATGGCCGCCAAATTGAAAAATTCAAAATGGCCACCATGTAATTCAGCCAGCATACCCAAAACCTAATCAGATCTTGGCAATAGTCTGCTCTTGCATCTGTAAAAATTTCAAGTTGAACGGATAAGTGGTTTTCCTGCAATTTTGATGACAAGATTTGTTGAAAAATTCAAAATGGCCGCCACGTAGTTTACCCAGCATGCCCTTAACCTAATCAGATCTTGGTACTAGTCTGCTCTTGCATCTGTAAAAATTTCAAGTTGAACAGGTAAGCAGTTATCCTGGAAATTTGATGACAAGATTTGGTTTATGTCCCGCCCGCCCGCACGCCCGCACACCCGCCCGCACGCCCGCCCAACAGCACAAGACGACGGCAATATAGCACTTTTTCAAAGTGCGATAAAAAGTGATAAGTGATAAGCGCGTTAATTATTAGCATTCAATTAAACCACATTAAACCAAAGGTATGCCTTTTACATACAATTTTTATCACATAACTAAGTTTATCCCGGAATGTTAACACTATTCCATGTTCTATATGAAATTAGAATAAATTAAAAATACCCAAACTATATAATATAAAAAGTTGTTATTCAATTTTAAAGTCCGAGACGGCAAAAATTACACACATCCTAGGACACATTTTAAAACTTAACAAATAGACACCATTTCAATAAGACAAAAAGCAAACGATGTATAAAAACCTGTTAGTAAACGATATGAACTAAGGGTGAAAAACCCCAGGGTGAAAATCCCCCCTGATATAATGATAGCTAGTTGGTATTTAACTGGTTGGTTCGATAGCCAAACATGCGGCTAACTGATAGGTGATGATGCCGATAGGGCTTCATATAGTCGGGGAAGGGGTCTCTCCAGTAGTAGATCAGTGGAATAGCTCACCACTGATCTAAACCAATCTGCTGGAACGGAAGGATCCATCTGGTCTGGCGGAAAGGATACAAGACTAGAGAGATTTCCTTTTGCAATATATATTTTTGCTGGTATTGGGAAACACGATTAGTCAGTATTTAATCATGGTGTATCCTGATACCAACCTCTTTTTTCTGGTTTAATTCAACTGGAAATGAACTTAAAGAATACCATGATGTACATTGTCCATCATAAATATGACAATTTCGATAGCATAGCCAGACCAATGTTCGAATCTCAGTTTTATTCCTTTATAACAATGGTTCGGAAATTTATTACTTTGAAGATTTTATATAAATCGCAAAACATAACTTAAAGTGGTTAATAAGTGGTCCACAAGGGGCTTCCGGTTGTCAAGTGAGTTGATACACGTAAGTGAGTGAGTGGGTTATGATTGTCCAGCATCAGTGCATAAAAGGAGAGTGTATTTTCGACACATTCACAAATGCTGGTTGATTATTTCCAGCATTGGCAGTAACATATTTTTCGTATCCGGATCCAACACCTGAAATAACTAATCACTGTGATGCTACAACAACTGAAAACCCTAAAACGACACCAGATATCAATGATCATGATGTGATCAAAATTTTAGTATATTTATCCCCTCGTATGTGTACCCAATACGTCTAATGGAAGAAAAGACCCGTCCTCCTAACCTGGACTCGAAAATGTAGGCATCCTATATCAAAACGATGCATCCTATGACAAATATGAGTCTCATTAGTATTTTAATTGTAGTACCACGCAATGAGTCGATGTACTGTGGTTTAAGAAAGATTATATATATAAGTGTATAAATGTGTATAAGTTTGTATTGGAGTAGTTGATGTTTTGAGTGTTTGAGTGTCACTATGCATGTTGTTGTCATTCATAATATTGCCTCTATAGAGTTAGATGTCGATCCATGTTTTCCACGGAAATTATTGAATTGAGTAACCATTATATGTAACCACTCTCTTTATGACACACTTATCCTATATTTTATGTTTTGAGTATTTTCATATATACAGGGTGGGCCATTAGGAATGGGACACTCGCATATTCTATTTAAAGGGGTGTGTGAACCTAATGTCATTAAAATTAATGAGTATCAATTGTTTACATTTCTGACTGAATATACTTAGGTGGGTCAAAAAGTTTTGCAGTTGATGCCATAACTTCAAGGAAAATAGGACTTTTACAATGAAACTTAGTACACATATGTGTTATACATTTATACATTATACGATAAAATTTGGGACCTCAATTTTGATTGGTTCTTGAGATATGGTTGCTATGGTAACCAGAGTGGTGGGTACCATGTTCAACCCGAAATTACGTTTTTCCAAATAGTTTTCTTGCTTGAATAAACTCTTTGTAAAGTGGCAATTAGCAGGTGTAAGTGTCTTTGGGTGGCTATTTTGCTTCAAATTCTTCAATTTTTTCCCAAAATTTTCAAAATGGCAGATGTTTCCACACCAACCAAATTGATGAAATGGAAGCATAGAAATCTGATACAGTGCATGGTTCAAAATGGCAAGACTTTGCAAGAGACTTATGAACTGGTTCAGGGAGCATTTGGAAATGATGCCAAAACGTATCCAGAAATTGCCTAGATGCTGCAAGACACGCTTCCCTTTGCTCCACTGTGAGGAACTTTGGAACCCACTTTGCTGCAACATACCGCTTTTTCAAGATTTTTGTGACAATTGTATGGCAGGACCCCCAGTAAATCACTTATTTCCTCTAATGAAATATGTCTGTCCTTTGAATTTGAAGAAAAATAGCCACCCAAAGACACTTACACCTGCTAATTGCCACTTTAAAAAGAGTTTATTCAAGCAAGAAAACTATTTGGAAAAACGTAATTTCGGGTTGAACATGGTACCCACCACTCTGTTTACCATAGCAACCATATCTCAAGAACCAATCAGAATTGAGGTCCCGAATTTTAACATATAATGTATAAATGTATAACACATATGTGTATCAAGTTTCATTGTAAAAGTCCTATTTTCCTTGAAGTTATGGCATCAACTGCAAAACTTTTTGACCCACCTAAGTATAAACATTTTAAGTCAAATAATGCAAGCTTTCATATTTTTTGCCTGACACGAGTCAATTCCAATTTGTCAATGTCAGCCATTTTAGATAAACTTCATTTTTTCGTGTTTACTACCTGACATATCGATAGAATTCTGGGAAAAAGCCCTTACAATAAGATTGTGTAAACTTACATCTTCTACGATTTCATCAACATCAAATATATCATCGTCTTGGGCAGTGACATATTGTAGTATACAGTACGACAGTGTCAGCTTTTTCGCCATCCGTTCATTCAGATAACACGTAATACATTGACAATTCAACTTCTTAGATGACTGGGCCTTCACCGTTTTCAAGGCGTGAATCTTATTTTCGTATCGTTTAATTTTTTCTTCCATTATCACGTTGTTCTTTGTGGTGTATCCGATACTTCTTTTAAATTGACAGTCTCCAAACTGGATGTAAAATGTTTTCCAAATCGATTTCAAGGACTGCTAAACGAATTCTCCTCTTTGGTTTATGCACATATACACAAGTAAGGGGTTCTTGAAATTAATAAACATTGTTTAGTTCGTAATGCTAATTTGTTTGGTTATAATGTTGTCTTTTGGTGTTTTCCATGTATTCAGCGTCAAAAGTACACTCACTAATCCTTCTTGATTCAGGTATTCCAAGCTTTGTTTTATATTTAGAATTTCAAACTTAAAGGCCCAGTTTACCTAACTTATTATTGAGTAGTCATTTTGACAGTAAGCTTAAGGTTCATATCTGAATCTCTTATGGCTTCCTTTATGCAATAACATTAACTGTCTTACATCTTACACAATGATCAAATATAGATTATAATATTTTGTTCATTTTAATATGTTGATTTTGAATATATTTTATTGTAAGCATAAAAAATAGAAAATGTGCTATATATGAATATAGGAATCCATTATTTGTTTGCTATTTCAATGTTTTGACTTTTCACTCCGCCTATCTGATCTTGCATTACACTTTCAAATCACCCGATTACACCTCTTATTCAAGCGTTTATACCCCACAACTTAATATTAAAACGCTTGTAGTTACACAAAGGGCAATCCATTAGGCTATGTAAATATAACGCATGCATTATTTTCGAGAAATTAACTTTTAAGAACATTTTCTTGAGATTTTGGATTAGGAAGGGAACCATATCATAAGCGTTGTTTGAGTAAGTAAATATTAATATTTGATTTAAAATAAGTGTAATGAGAAAACTAAACAAGGCTTTTGAGCTACTGAGTCAAACGCTGACCCATAAAGTAAAAACATTACACTTTGATTGGTTAGCCATTTTTGAATAGGAAAACGGGGAAATATGGATGTCAAGGAAAAATGCTAGTCTATTAACAAATGGCATTGTAAATTCAATAAAAATATCTTTCTTAGATTTTATAGAAAATACGGAATAGGTTTGGCCACGGTATGATTTATTCCCAGGAGCTGAAAGAGCCGAATATATTAGACAAATACATCATTGGGTTACTACGTACGTAAACCTTTTAGTACAAGAGTGCACTCTTAGTTCATTTCGATTGTAAGATGCAAACGTTAACATGTTTTATTATATGGAGAGGTTTATTTGAACACCCTGTACCTTTTGCAACATAACTTTGTAAATACTAAAGAATTTTGCTTGTGCTTTCATGGAAAAAAGTCCAATCAATCACTCACAAAATATATAGTGTATCTGTTAAAGGAATAGACAACACATCTTGTAACCCTCATAAATATGCATTTATTTGAGCTAGTCATCTGAAACTTCTTGTGGAGTTGCTCCGTGGATGCTAGTTTTAATGTGCCATAACACAAGTCAGATTTTTTGCCGACAAAAAATTATGCAACATTATGTGGGTGGGTGGCATTTTTGTGCCACCCGGTATGAGAATTTAATTAAAACTCTTTCCGTGATAAAGTTCTTGCGTATCCTCCTGTCAGATAACGTCAATGAAGTTCCAAAAATACCGACGTCCAACCCGTTCTGAACCACATCCACCTGAGTGTATGTTCTTCAACACGTTTCAATAACTTGTAGTTTGGTGTGACTGGGTTATTGCCACAACCAAATGCGAACATATGAATCTTTGGACTTGGAAACAATTGTTTGTGTTCAATACGATGCTTGCTACATAATTGCTTTGAATCAGTTTGTCACGTTTTGAGCGTTTTCAACTTATTTTCATATTTTGACAATGTGATCACAAAATGTTAAGCATGCTAATTCTAAAAATTGACCACCTTCTAGAAATTAGACACCCAGATAAATACATAATGTTTAGAAAGAGTCACATGAGAGGTTTTTGCCAATTAAAATTGTGCTTTTGAGCATCGATTGTTATTAATACCGAGGTGTATCAACAATTATTAGTTATGCAATACGACACAATGAATAATTAGTAGGTTCTACGCCCTAAGTCTAATGTCGGTCATTTTTTATTTACAATGATTATTTACAGGGAGGGGGAATAATACACTGCTGTATATCCTTTGTACATATCAACATATCAATTTTATTCGACGCGAAGTCAACAACCACAAGCGTCTTATCACCTTTAAATATCCAATTCAACTGCCTGTTATGATTAACACATGCTAAATTATGTACTCATAGTATACATATATTTAAAGGCCCAGTGGTGCATTTGTTATTCGTTATTTGCATTTAATTAAATGCATAAATGGACAGATTGTTGATTATAATAGTTTATACCGAGGCATCATATTTATTCGTTATTTCCATTTTAATCATATGCATAAGAGCGATGGATTGTTCACTATAGTTTGACGCATTATAGTTACTTGTTTAATTTACTCTTCTCCTATAACGCCGTTGACGTTATTAAATCCACTAAAAAGAAGTTTCAAGTTTCATGGTGAAATGCCCATCATCTGTTAAGAAATTACCACCACTCCATAATGTGAAAATGTCCATAAAATATAAACTTTGTGTTATTTTAACGTATGTAGACCTCTGATTAAAATAAACCATAAATCTGGCTTCAAACATTTCAAACTTGACATATGGCCTTTTATAACGGCTACCGTAATCTCAAAGTTCAACACATACCAATTAACACATGTAGATCGTACTTATACGTATAAGCTAAAAGTACCATCACTGTAAAGTTAAATCTACATCATTGAACCCAGAGTGATATTACCTTTACAAAGTATGGCTGACAATTCGAATCAATTTGAGGAAGACTTATTTCTTGAAACGCTGGTTGAAAAAGACGAACGAAAATTGGCGCTGGTATTACAAAGAATATCTCAATGTCGTAAAGATATTATACTCTGGGCGTTTGAGAAAGGAGTACACATGACAACAAAAACCATGAAAATCTTGAAAGAAATAGGGGCAGACATTAATGCCAAGAACACATTTGGGAATACCGCACTGATTTTAGCTACATTGGAGAATAAGATTGACATCGTGAGAAGACTTTTAAATATTGGTGCCGAAGTTGATGCTTGTAATAGTTTAGAAAACACTGCATTAGTATTGGCGGCAAAGAACAATCACAGTGAATGTATTTCGTTGCTTATTGAACATGGTGCAGATGTCAATCGAAAATATTCAAACCGAAAACCTTGTGCATTATTTTTGGATGAACATAATATTACGTTCCCGTTAATGTTGGTCGTAAAACACAACAATCTGGAATCCACACGGCTATTACTGGCAAATGGTGCAGCTGTTAATGCAAAGGATAATCTAGGGAAGACAGCATTGATGATTGCTGCAGAACTCAATCATGTGGAATGTATGCGTGTATTAATTGATTATAGTGCCTGTGTCAACGAGAAGGACAAATATGGAACGACAGCATTTATGATTGATGTTGCCCATGGGCATACTGAGACTGCAAAGGTATTGATAGAGTACAATGCAGATCTGGAAGCCACTGATGCTGAAGGAAGAACAGCACTGATGTTTGCAGCTACTGATGATCTAGTGGAATGCCTCGAGGTTATAATAGATCAAGGTGCAAATGTTGACACCAAAGATAACTCAGGGAAAACTGCTTTAGTATATGCAGCTGAACGAAATCAAGTAAAAAATATCCGAAGATTATTAGATCATGGCGCTGATGTCAATGTCGTGGTTGACTGTGGGATGACTGCAATAATGTTTGCAGCTGATGGTAACCACTATGAGAGTATCAATGAATTGGGAAAGCATGGTGCAGATATCAATGCAAAAGACGATGACGGAAAAACTGCATTGATGTTCGCAGCACAAAATAACCACGTAGAAAGCATCAATGCATTAATGCATCAAAGTGCGAAGATCGATGCCAAAGACAACTCAGGAAATACCGCATTGATGTTAGCTGCTCAAAATGATAAAGTGAAAAGCATCCATGTATTAATAGCTCGAGGAGCAGATGTCAATGCAAGGAACGGAGATGACGATGCTGCCTTGATATTTGCAGCTGATCAAGGCTTCGAAGAATGTGTGTATACATTAGTAGACAGTGGTGCCGATATAAATGCTACTAATGACTACAACCAAACTCCAATAACATGTCTACCAGATTCATCCTCTGGATACAAAATATACGCAATGCTAACCATAATGGGCGCCAAAGATGTTAACTACGAACACCTTATGTCATTAAAATACACGGTAGGTGATGACAAAAAGAATCGAACAAAGGCAAAACTTAACGAACTCAAAACCAAACACATGTTTGGCTTGAAGTATCAAGCGAGACAGTGTCTGTATCAAACTTGTTTGAAGAATAAACGGGTTTACAGAAATGCTATTGAGAGTTTAATGAAAGACGGAACTTTACCAGGTAACCCAACATTTGAGAGATTTGTGATGTTCAAAATGTCTTCTGATATAAGTGAAATTGAAACGATCATAACAGACACTTTTTAAATGCAGGATTTTAGGACAATTAAAGGGAGGGTAATGAACAGGGGTCAGTTATCAGAAGAATATCGTCAGGTTACGTGCATCGTCCTTCATGACACCAAGCTATTGTGGTTGTATTCATTTGTGATATTTCTAATCGACTAAGGTATGATAGGCGTTTCTACATGACACGATGACTGACAATGAATAAATAAAAGGCAAACTAAAGCACACGTTCTTACGCTTGGAGCAGTTATAGTGAAATATTTGTCAGTCTAAAAGACCAAAACCCACGTAAGAAATGTTCAAGTGAAAAGGCACTTGGTGTGAAGCCCATTGGAATTTGGAATCTTGAAACGAGATCATCCTTGGTCCAAGGGTATTCCAATTCTTTCCATAAGCTCAGAGAGGCCCGATCTTGAAGGATGTACATACACGAGATCAACATGATGTGCCACAATAGATACTCTTAACCCCGTGTGCTGAAATATCTAAGTTGTGGAGAGCATCGCTATCGGGCACAACATTTCCACAGAGCAGTTGCGTTCCAAATGGAGTATTGAGTTAACTCTTCACATTTGTCTGAGTGCCTCATTCAGACCATATTGAAAATTAATTCCCATGTTTGATGTTGTAACTTAACAAATTGACCCGTGTCTAAAGTCTAACTTTGATGATGTATATTTCCCTTTATTTCACTGTTACACCTCAAAGGAAATATCTGATCTTAGAGTATTTACCATACAGCAGAGTAAAAGAGTGTCGAATATTTACATGTTTGCTGTGTAATTTGCTGATTCTAATAATTCCCACTATGTTTTGCAATTCAAATCATGGCCATTGTGACATTCGCCTCAAGAGGAGGAGGCTCTTTGTTAACAAGCAAGCGCAACCTTTGAAAATCAAAATACACATCAGCTGAGCAACATTTGAACTCATGCCTTAACTTCTGATAACAACACACACTGTTATTACAAACATTGAAATTAAAAAGTATGCTAAAAGTACAAGGGCAATATTCTTAACCTTTATCTAAAGCCAAAATCATGGACCGCACTCGTGTAGGAATGTTACCAAGTCAAGCATTATCTATTTTCGTACAAAATCACATTCTCCGAACGCAGGGCTTCAGATATCATTCACTACGTTCTTTCTTTCCTCCTTCTTTGAAGATCAAGGGTCGAGAGGATGACATAATCTTTGATTGGTATTTGTTGTCAATCTTTAAATAAATGCTAAAGACAAAAACAAGTCGAACTTGAAATTATAGATTATTCAATTCGCGTAATATTGATTTCAATGGGTTTAAGCAATACCTGCAACCATTGAAAGTGCATAAGTTCAGTTATAGTAAAGCTTTTACCTTGATTTTACTTTTATTTGAAAGATAAAAGATTCTTTCTGGAAGCTTTTGACATTTTGGCACCAAAACATTTGAAAGAAAATTGACAATTTATCACAGAATTTCAAATAGTTACACTCCTAGGTCACGTTGACCTTGGTTTGACCTTTGTTGACCTACTTTTTCCGAAGAGTTAATTTAATAAGGTTTACAACAATAACAACATTATTGATGTCAGACAAGTAATAAAAATTGGTAAGGGTTTTGAACTCCCATAATAAATATGGCACATTGTTAAATAAAAATGAGATAAAGAAAATATATTGTGGCTCGGGCTATGAAATAAAGCAAAAGATTCGCCATGGCCGGGATTCGAACCTGGAAAGTGCATTCACAAGCATGATTCTTTAACCACTTGGCCACGACCTCCTTGAGTAGTCAGTTTTATATAGATTGTTAATTTTTGAAAATATTTTTTCCACAACATTACAATTATTAGGAAATAGTCAATAATCATGCTAAAAATATTAGAATATATAGCTGAGTAAGTATTCTATGCCAAATTCAGAATTAATGATGTCAATTAAGTTTTCAGTTTGATAATCTATTTCCTGTCTTGACAGTTAAAAAAACATGGCCTTCAAAATAATTTCTTGTTTCAAATTTTCAAAATGATATATATCCAGGAATCAACTATTTTTGGCACCTGAACCCATCCTAATAGAAAAACTATTTCCTTGAAGAGTATCTCTTGAAATCCGTCATTTTAGCCTCTGACGTCGTCTTTGAAAGTCACTAAATGTTATGATAACGGTTGCGGACATTAGATATAGCATATTTTTATTAATAATTTTCTGTATTCAAATTCTACTTTGATTGATGAACAAACGCTTAAGTTTTGATTCAATGCATGCTTCTTACATCTGAATTAAATAAGTGGATAACATAGGGTCACCAAAAGAGGCAAATGGACATCTAAATTACATACCAAAATTGAGGCCCAGTATTCTTTACTGCAAAGGCCAAGTCTGATTCTTTGGCGCCTGTGGATTTCAGGGGCACTTTGGGCTCGGAACTGCCTCTGCTCCTTTACATTACCCGACATTTTCCACGCCTTTGCTAATTTTGAAGTTGCTGTTCGTAAGTTAGAATTCGATCCATTGCGCTTTTTGGTAGTCTCATACTAATTTTTAACTTGTCATTTATCATGGTTATTTCTCTTGCACTGTCTTGATCAAGTCCAACATAGTTAAAGTCCTTTGCAGTGTCTTCCATCGCTAAGTCATATCCCATCGAACCGTTCATTTAAACGGGAGAACAAAAATTGTATAAGTAGTACAGGTTCATAAATATTTAACAACCAACTATTATAAGTTGACGAACATCGATATTCAAGTGCAAATAATGTAATTCACCTTCCAAGCTGTTATTGAAAATGATCACTATAGGATTAAGTTAGTAAAAGTCTGTTCAAATAGGCTCCTTCTTCGCAACTGCTCTCTAAAAATTAAAAAAAGTGTATGTTTTTTATATTTCTATGAAAATTCGACTTTAAAATAGTTGCCTGGTTACGCTATTGTATAATCATCCCACTCTTCCCAGCTCTTTTTACATTCTAAAACATTTCCATCTTGATATTTTAGTGCTAGGTATAAAGTGGGTAATAGATACTCAGCAAATTGTAATTCAACTTCTTATTTCCTCAGCTGATTTCGCATTAACCATGGACACTTTTAACAAGTCCATTAGAGTCATGTTTGAAAACAGAAAATACAGTGGAAAAGTTAAATAATTTTAAGACAAACATGTTATAACGGAAGAAATTGTAAACATATGTAGAAAGCATTCTACAATCAAAATGAAGAGCAGTTAAAGTATTTGATGAAATTCTTGAAAACAGTAGTGCACAATGGTGATACTGAACCATGATAGCGATGTTTCATTAATATATACAGAGTGGTCAAAATATGGCAACCCTATATTTTCCTCATATCTTTGTCATTTGAGGAACTTACTCCCTGATATTTTACACACTTTTACATCATTTAACTTCATATCATGATATTATATTTCATGACAATCAGCTTGATAGTCACGATGTTACAGCACTTTAAACAACATGCTCAAGGACTGAGGTGTGGCCATCTGAGGCCCAGGAATACGTTTAAAATGTTTAAAAAGTCCCCTAGTGTACTGAGTTAGTAATACGTGGCATATACATGTATATTTATATCTTTCCATCATCGTGCTTAGGCAAACCTGCACACGTTGTCTATGACCAAACTGCAATCCTCAGAATGTATGGCCTGAATGACAATAATGATCTCCCTTTTGAGGCCCGCAATTGTCCTGAGGTCATTTTTGTACACTTCATCTTTAAGTTTTGGCATATCCAACAGGTAGAAGTCGGGTATGAACATTTTGGACGACGGATGCAGGTTTGCCCAGGCCCACAACACAAAATTGGCCTCGGGAGCATGATGTTTAAAGTGCTGTTACATTGTAACTATCAATCTAATGGTCATGAAATATTGTAGGCTGGTAGGTACTTTTCTAAAATGGCAAGGATATGAGGAAAATAGCGGCAGGGTTGCCGTTTTAAATGTATTTGACCACCCTGTACTATGTTATTGTCAATAAATATATACCAGTAGAACAAAGAATTAGTTCTTAAGATTAGACCTGCACATAGGTGCTCCCTGGGTAATAAGAGTATGGGGCCATCCTGATAACTGATCTGTTTGCAGGTCGACCCCACAATTTTATTACCCTAGGAGCATATGTGGCCCTGCAGAGCATTGACTATTTTTCGCGATCGTATACTAAATATAATCAAAATTGCAATATGCAATTGCATTTACACGTTCGAAAATTAAATTGATCATTTATTCCATTCTCCTGAAAAATTATATAATATAAACCCTCACTGCTACACTACAGATCAATAAAATATGTGTGCTTAATAACGTAATTCTCATGCATACCGTCGGTGACTATATTCGTCAGTGTCAAAGTTGGTCAGGATCATCGGACCTCATGCAATCCATTTCCTTCACTCGATTCATGAACAATTTCACTGATTTCCCGAATATCTCCAGCCGAAATATTTGCCACTCTTAAGCTTGCATTTGTCATGCCAGTAGGTAGTAGGCAAAATGCAATACGATTGTATACGGTTTATGTTTATACATTTTATTCTTGTACAAACCTTGGTTTGAGATAAGTCTTTATAGCGAATGAATTTGATGATTTTAAATGGAACATATGAAATTACGAATGCCCATTGTCTCGACTGTTTCTCAAATGTTTGTATCAATTGGTATCATATCATCTTTTGTCTGATTCCATTTATTTCTGATCTTTTAGCGATATTTACACTCGGGAATTGTATGTCACATCTTAAGACTGTGCCAAGAATTTGGAATTAATAATTATAGTTTATATTACGGAAATCAATTAACCAATACACGTTAACAATATCTCATTAGATGGTTATTCAAATTACAGGAGTTCTCCAAATAAAATGTTTACAAACATATCATAACCTTGCATGAAACGCCACGGTGGTAGTTCATGAATTCTGAATATATTCAGAACGATGACAACCAACAAAATCAAAATTATAGTAACATCGTCAGTACACTGATTTTTCCGTATACAAGTCATAGCACCAGATACTTGTTTTAATTTCACACGGAAATCAAGTAGATTAAGATTGAGCGAATGGACATTTCAAGCATCGGATCACCAATATTTACTGCAATAAAGGAGAGTTGTTTACCTGGCCAAAGCAAATGCTAATTCTATTATCCAAGTGTGTTTGTGCCATAATATTGCATTTGCTAATGAATTAGTTGAGATATTGCTTTGTTCACTCTTAAAAATGAATTACTTGAGTATTTCCCAAGTATTTCCCAAGTATAAAAATTACTTAAAGTTAAATACTTAGTTTTACTTCATTTTACTTAGGTTTAACTTATATTGTCATTTTGAGTTTTTTAATTGCTTAATTATGTAAATGAGTATTACAATTACTACAGTAAGTATTTCAATTTTTCTCCTTGCATTAGTAAATTCACCATAAATGAATTACTTAAAAATTACTTAAATAATCTTGAACTACTGAATAATTTTGAAGTAATTTTTGACTTAAAATGAGTAGTACAATTTCTCAATATAAGGAAATCCAAGTAATAATTTTTAAGAGTGTTCTCATCACACATGGCAATCATTATACTTCTCCGGTAATAGGGTCGGATTTTAAAAGCAACAATACCTAGTCCTGTGACCTAATATCGTAGCTCTGTTTCAACACTACATGTTTTTAAAGAGATACCCACCAGCCCTCACGCATTCCTGGGATAATCATGAATCAATCGATTCAGCATCAAGAAAAATATGTGATTTGGGAAAATCTCAGGTAAAAAAATCAGTATGGTGTGCAATTGAGCCCACACATTTAAAAAATGTTTTAAAATGTATTTTAAGATTACTCATGAAAATTACTTCAGAAAAGTATGACTGTCCGAAACATGTTGCAATGACTTATAACTGCTCTTCCCACTCATGTATTCCTATAACAATAAGTCTGGTTAAATCTAATTTAATTAATTTAATGTGATATTATGTATTTATCCCACGATTAATGTGTTATCTGTACAATTGCAGCTATTGATATTTCTGATATTATTGAAATCCGTGTGATATTTTCCAGAAAATCGTTTATCAAACTCATATGCGTGTGATATCGTTTATCTCACGCATATCCGTGTGATATCACATTTCCATTTCGCGCCACAATATTGTTCGAAATTAGGTCAGATAGTTTATTCTCTTTTGAGAAAATAATGTAGGTCCGTTAATTGATTCTCTTTAAGTTTCATTGGTGTATTGAATTACGATTGTGTATATAATTTGATTAGAAGGCTGCTAACTAACGATTAAAAATGGTATTTATGACGAACTATATCATGTACAGAAAGTAGT